GCGCTGCTTTGCTTGCAACAGGCCGGGCCATCGCAAGAGCGAATGTCCAGAGGAGCTGAGGCGCCGAGGAGCAGAGCAGGGGAAGGAGTCTCAGAGGCAGGGAAACGCCAACAGTTAGTAGAAGTTGGGCCAACTACTGACGAGACTGCCTGCTCGCCCAACCACACCGACCCTCACCGAGTCACAGTACCGATTCATGCCATCGATCGGGCTCGGATGAATAAGGAGGGTACAGCGACGGATTGCCCGGTACTAATCTACAGGAAAATACTGGGAGCAGCAGTGAAGATTTTTATTGACGGAGGAGCAAGTCACAGCTTAGTTAATACCGCAACCGCACGGAAATTATAGTTACCACTTAATCGATGCTTACCTGAGATAGATGCACGCTTAGTCGACGGCACGCCACTGGCTATACGGGAAAAGGTGGAGAGACTAAAAGTCCGCTGCGGAGGGAACTTCGGGTTTACATAGTAAATGCTCGCGATGACACTGGATGGGCACGACATTTTATTAGGACTTGATTGGTTGCGACGGTATAACCCACGAATTGACTGGACGACGGGTAGCTGCACAGTGCGAAGTAGTGGTAACTGGGTCGTCCTACCTCGCTGGCAGCGACCCGAGTCTTCGATGGTCCAGGTCAACGCCATCACGATGAAACGGGCTGTCGCTGTTGGAGCTGACGTGTACGCGGTGGATATTGCATTAGTGGAAAAAGAGAAACAGCCGAGTGATTCGCAGAAACTGTTGGCAGCCGTATCGTCGGAACTACAGGCACTACTGAAACGGTTCCCGGGTATCTTTCCGGATGACTTACCGCAAAGGCTGCCACCTCAGCGGGCGCACGACCATAGGATCGAGTTAGAACTGGGGGCACAGCCAACTGTACAGCGTCATTTTCGAATGACACAGCCCGAGCTCGACGAGCTAAGGAAGCAGTTAGATTACCTGTTAGAGAAGCTGTTTATCCGACCGAGCTCGTCACCGTTCGCCGCACCGATACTGTTCACACCGAAAAAGACGGAGGGTTTCGCATGTGCATCGACTACCGAGTGCTTAACATGGTAACAGTCAAATTGCGATATCCCATCCCTCGCGCCGACGAACTGATCGACCAGCTGCGAACTGCACGAGTATTTTCGAAAATAGACTTACGGGGAGGTTACCATCAAATTCGGGTCGACCCATCGGACTTCGCCAAGACAGCATTTAGGACTAGGTACGGGTCATTCGAGTACACGGTGATGCCTTTCGGGCTTACCAACGCGGCTGCAACATTTCAGATGACCATGAACGAGGCGTTTAGGCCACTGTTGGATAAATGCGTGATAGTTTACCTCGACGACATCCTCGTTTACAGTCGGGACCCGCAGCAGCACTTTGTAGATCTCGAAGCAGTTTTTAAAATTTTAGAGGCACATCGCTTACTAACCAAGGGCTCCAAGAGCGAGTTTTTTCGGGACAGGCTAGAATTTTTAGGACACGTTATTTCGGAGGCTGAGGTTGAGATTGACCCTAAGAAGCTGGATACGGTACAAGCGTGGCATCCCCCGACGAACATCACGGAACCACAGAGTTTTTTAGGATTCGTTAATTACGTTCGTTGGTTCGTCCCCGGCATGGCACGCTTAACACCCCCTCTCAATGATTTACTGTGTAAGGGGGTCGTTTTTACGTGGGGGGAGAAAGAGCATACTGCCTTCTCTGCCCTGAAAACTGTTCTCTGTTCACCACCCGTCCTTCGCATCGCTGACCCACATCGCCCCTTCGAGGTTGTTACCGACGCGAGCGACATCGCCATCGGAGCCGTACTGTTACACGACTTTGGCAACGGCCTTCAACCCATTGCCTATGAATCACGCAAACTGCATCCACCTGAGCGAAATTACCCGATACACGACCGCGAAATGCTCACGATCGTGCATGCATTCAAAGTGTGGCGCTGCTACTTGACCGGCGCAGATGTGACAGTACGGACAGACCATCGATCCCTACAGTACCTCCGTGCACAGCCCCACCTCAACCCACGACAGATTCGGTGGCTCGACTTTCTCGAGTCGAATTTCCATTATACGGTCACCTATAAAAAAGGAGCCTCAAATATCGCCGACGCACTGACCCACCCCACTGCCCAGATCCATGCGATACTACTCGCCCAGACCAGCCCGTTACTGACAGGACTATTTACCCACGGATATCAAACAGACTCATTCTTCACAGGAGGAAATTCGCAGCAGTTCGCAGCAGCCAAGGGAGTCTATTACGTAAAAGTTGGAACCGACCGCATCTGGGTACCAAGGTACACACTACTACGGGAACTACTATTACAGGAGGCACACGACGGAGTTACCTCGGGACATTTCGGAGTAGAAAAAACACGGCACCAGCTGCAGCGGTACTACTACTGGCCAGAAATGTTGACCGACGTGCAACGACACGTGGCATCGTGTCCCACTTGCCAGCTCATGAAGTCAAGCAGGAAGCGGCCGGCGGGACAATTGCAACCAATCCCACCTCCAGAGCGTGCTTGGCAGCAGGTGACGATGGACTTCGTCACGGGGTTACCGGCTGGGGCGAGTGGGAATGACGCGATCCTGGTCGTCGTCGATCGACTGGCGAAAATGGCACATTTTGCAGCCTGCAAGAAATCAATCACAGCCGAGGAAACAGCCCGACTGTTCATCACCACCGTCGTTCGACTACACGGGATACCAGCTTCGATCATCAGCGACAGGGACACGAAATTTACCAGTAATTTCTGGCAGAAATTGTGGCAGCAGCTCGTCACGCGACTTCTATTCAGTTCATCCTATCACCCCGAAACCGACGGACAGACAGAACGGACAAACCAGATCATGGAGCAGCTGATTCGAGCCACGTGCGACGATCCAAACACGTGGGAGCAGCACCTGCCACTCATCGAGTTCGCATACAACAACGCGCCATCTGTCACGACCCGACAGTCATCATAATACTTAAACTACGGAGAGGACCCAACAGTACCCATGACCCCAAACCCCGACAATCTTGTTCCACGCGCACAACAGTTCGCCGAGATTTTGCAAGCAGCACGGACCAGGGCAACAGAAGCAATTAAAAAATCAAATATCATCGCTAAACGCAACGCCGATCGCCACCGCAGACCCGTCACTTATCAGCCCGACGACCTCGTTTTACTGGACACTCAGAACCTCCGCCTGCCCATCACTCCCAAACTCCGCCCTCGATACTGTGGGCCATTTCGAGTTAGTCACATGATCACACCTGTCACCGCGCACCTCCTCCTCCCTGCTGACTGGTACGTCAGCCCCTCGTTCCACGTCAGCCTGCTTCGCCCTTACGTACCATCCACCAGCCAGCTCCCACGACATCGACCATCCAGCATGGCACATCCGCCAATCGAACCCATCATCACCCCCGACAAAATCTTGAGCCACAGAGTTCGCGACCCTCGAGGAGCTCGAAAAGGCGAGTTCTTGATTCGCTGGAAAGACCGTACACCCAATGAGGACAACTGGGTTCCCTTGGACATAATTGAAAACCACCCTGTCCTCACCGAATATCTGCGCAGCCGAAACTTCAAAGACGTCCACGCACTCTCGTAAGGAGGACCTCCTCTAGGAAGGGGGGTAGTGTAAGGAAATTCCTTTTTCCTTACTCCGCATCCCTGCTCAACGCGTACATCACTGTAGCACCCCAGTCAGCACCGTTACCACTCGCGACCATCGCATCATTCATCATCCCGCCATTTTCGCACATCGCATCCCGACCTCACGGCTCGGCTGGTAACCCGCGCTCCGGGCCTACGCTTCGACACTTTCCCAACCTCAGTCCCAGGCTCGTCGCGTAACTACCATTACCGTTACCACTGTTTTCGCTATATATTCTTCGCTCATGCCTTCGCTCATGCCTTCGATAGTGCAATTCTCGTTCGTTCACTCAATTGCACTCGTAACAGCAAGACACAAGGTGGACGAAGGTACTCGCGTGGTTCTGACGCTTCTTCAGGAATGCTTCACCCTCATGTTGCCACGTTGCACTTCAGATTTCCGTGCCGCCTAGAGTGGCTTGAACGATTGACGCTTTCGCTATCGCGCTCCATTCGCCTTCTTTTGTAATCCGTTACTCCACTAGCCTCGAGCCCCGCAAGGTGCGGTTGTCGTGCTTCTCGAATTAACGATCGTATGCTGAGGCTTGGGTCGGCCACTTCTTGCAGATATCGGATATCTACTACTGTACCTTCGATTTGTGGACGTGCATTCTCGGTCATCTTCGCATGACAGACCTCAGGCATCTGTGCAGAGTAGCCACCGGATTGCTGCGTGTAAGAATCCATACGGATCCAGGATTCGAACCCGCGACCTGTCGCCGTTTCTTCAGCATCCCAGCAAAGGCAGAGACTCGTACCCATCGCCCAACGGTCAGATTGGAGTCGTTTTTGGGCGGTGAGAGTAGCGAAGAAGCGATCATGGGCTTCCAGAAGATTCCGGTTGATAATCCCATCGTAGAAATGGACGGTACGGATTTGCTGTTGACCTGTCCGCTAATTGCACGTAATAGATTGGGGCGTGACGGAAAAAATCCTTCATTTCCCTTGTCAACTTGCCTCTCGCTCTCCTCCCACTGAATCTCTTGCCGATTGTCCCCTGACCGCTTTTTTTCTTGCTTCATCGCTCCCTCCCTATCATCTCCTCTCTCTCAACACGATGGCATGTTCTGGATTTCGCTGTGCAGGAGATGAAATGGCGCGAGTCATCTGGTCCATGATTAAAGAGAAGGTACTCGCACCCCGTGTCCTGGCTCGGTCAAATTGCATCTCTCCAAGCAGCTGCGTATCATGCATGCAGCACCGTGTATAAATTGTATTGTTGAGACGTCTCAAAAATTCGCTGTGCAGGAGATGAAATGGCGCGAGTCATCTGGTCCATGATCAAAGAGAAGTTACTCGCACCCCGTGTAGTGCATTCAGCATGCCCCTAGTTTGGAGTGCAGATGAAATGGCGCGAGCCATCTGGTCCATGATTAACGACAAGGAACTCGCACCCCCAGTACCTGATAGTGTCTGCTCCCATTGCCTTCCTGCGTCCATCTTCCGTGCGCCGCAGCTCATCCTCCCTTTCCTGAATGTCAATTTTTGAGTCGACACAGATTTGTTTACTTTTGAGTCGGCTCAAGATTTTTATTTTTTGAGTCAGACCCAAACGTCAGCTCATCCTCCCCGTCCTGGATGTCAATATTAACTTCTGCGACCTGGGCCTGCCCGACTCCCACTCACTCCATATCAACCATACCGCTTCCGTCCCGCCCTCTTCCCTGCCTGTTTTTGCAATCTCCTCTCCCCGCAGGTCATCCACCCCTTCCTGGATCGCGACATCAAGTTCTTGGACCTGGGCCTGCCCACTGTCGTGCACCTGACAATGCCCATGCCCCATCCATCCTTCTGCCTCCCTGCCTGCCTGCCTCGCATCTTATCTGCTCTACTCCGCAGCTCATCCACTCCTTCCTGGATCGCGACATCAAGTTCTTGGACCTGGGCCTGCCCATTGTCGTGCACCTGACAATGCCCATGCCCCATCCATCCTTCTGCTTCCCTGCCTGCCTGCCTCGTATCTTATCTGCTCTACTCCGCAGCTTATCCACCCCTTCCTGGATCGCGACATCAAGTTCTTGGGCCTGGGCTTGCCCTTACCCGTTGCCATGCACGCATCTCACTCACACTGCTCATGCCCCATCCACCCGAAAGAAGGAGTGTTTTGAGACGTCTCAAAACACTCCTTCTTTCACGTTGCCATGCACGCACCTCACTCACACTACTCATGCCCCATCCACCCATCTGCCTATCTCCCATCACCGCAGCTCATCCGTCCCTTCCTGGATCTAAACATAGAGCACTTCAATCGACCTGGGCCTGCCTCAGGCCGTGCACCTGATATCGCCCATGCTGCATCCATCCGTCTCTCCCTCTCTCTTCCTGCCTGACCCCATACTCTCCGCAGCTCATCCGTCCCTTCCTGGATCTAAACATCAAATACTTTGACCTGGGCCTGCGCTTGCCCATTGCCACGCGGCTGACATTGTCTGCCCATTGCCCATTGCCTATTGCCCATTGCCCATTGCCCATTGCCCATTGCCCATTGCCCATTGCCCATTGCCCATTGCCCATTGCCCATTGCCCATTGCCCATTGCCCATTGCCCATTGCCCATTGCCCATTGCCCATTGCCTGCCTGTTTGTATTCTCCCATCGCCGCAGCTCATCCATCCCTTCCTGGATGTCAACATCAAGTACTTTGACTTGGGCCTGCCTCAACCCCATGTTCTCCCTGCCCCATCCATCCTCCTCCCTGCCTGCCTGCCTCCGTGCTGTGCTCTCCCCCCTCCGCACAACAGCTCATCCACCCCTTCCTGGATGTCAACATCAAGTACTTCGACCTGGGCCTGCCTCACCGCGAGGCCACCAACGACCAAGTCACGATCGAGAGCGCACAAGCAACGCTCACGTAAGCCTCTCAATTGATCATTTTAAAGATTTCATAATTCTCACAGAGCGCTGTTGTACAAACGTATACCTTTTCAAACACTGGCGACTAGTCTATCCCCCGCCACCCCATATGCATTTGTCCGTTCCTTTTCACTTGCCTCAGCTCCCCTTCGGTTGATTTTCACTTCCCCTTCCCGTCCTGCCTGCTCTGCTCTGATTGTTGTCAGCTTATAATAATCTTCCCTGCTCCCTCGCGTCTACAAACATCTCGGTCCTGCCTAATTCTGTTTTGCTTCCAACAGGTATAATGTGGCAGTCAAGTGTGCGACAATCACTCCTGGTGCGTAAGTCTTAGGGCAATCAGTCATGAGTGGGTCAGGGGAGGGTCACCGGCGAGTTGGGTGGTTGCGTGCGTGTGGGTCGTAGGTCTAATCTAAACGCCAGACTGATGGCATTTGGAGCAACTCCGTTGTACCTGATGCTTCTGTGCTTGAATTGCACGCATCGTGCTCCATTCTCATCTCACCACCCACTCCCTGAATGTCATGCCTCCCCTGCGTGCCCCTTTCCCTGAATCCAGACGAAGAGAGGGTGCGGGAATTCGGACTCAAGGCCATGTGGAAGAGCCCCAATGGTGAGATGCCACGTGTACGGTATAAAGAGAAAAGAGAAGGGCTCATTCACAACTTCTGTGGCGTTTTTTCGAATTCTCACCATTCCAGCTGGTGGTACAGTACAGATTCGTTTGTTAGAATGGATAGCACTGCTGCTGCGTTTCACCGCCAATCTTGTGCTCCTTGCTGTGTTTCACCGCCAATCTTGTGCTCCTCTCCCATGTTGGTGCGACTTTAGAGAATTCTCACAAGTTCTTTCATCCCTCCATCCATGCTCTTCCTTCTCTTTCTCTTGCAGGCACCATTCGCAACATACTGAATGGTACGATATGATGCCACATATGTTGGCTGTGTGTGCGCTTTGACACGGCGCGCGCGCGCGCGTGTGCGAGTACGCGTGTGTATGTGGGCCACGCAAATGTATGGCCTCGTTGTGCATTGACTGTTTGCTATGCATCTGTGAAGCTGCTGAGTTCTCATCCCCCATCTGCATCTCTTCCGTAAACCTCCCCATCCAATATCATGCCTCCTCGCATATTGTTTCCAAGGCTCGTCAAAGCCTTTCCTCTCACTCGACCCTTTGTTCCTGAACACGCCCAACTGTTGTATTCTGGAACCCTGTGCTTCAATCTCATCCATCCCCCCTCTCTTGCTCGCATCTGCAGGCACTGTGTTCCGGGAGCCAATTCTCATCCGCAACATTCCTCGCCTCGTGCCCTGTCAGTCACCCATAAAGACCCAGTTTCCACACACCGCTCTCCCCTTCTTCCTCCCGCAACCTCATCTTCCCACCCTTGCTCTTCCCTAATTTCTCTCTCTCTCCCAGAATTCCCCCCTCGCATTGCATCTTACTCTCTCCGCCTCCTCTCCCTCTCTCCTTCACCCCTTCACCACCTCATGCCACACCAGCACTCACATGCTCCTCGTCCTCCCTTCACCCCTGCATGGCATGGCATGTCACCCCTGCATGGCATGGCATGTCACCCCTGCATGGCATGGCATGTCACCCCTGCATGGACGCACCCCGTAGTGATAGGCCGGCACGGCATGCATGCGTTGTTTGAATCAACTCCAAAAAATCCTTACACACTCTCCCGCTCTCCGCTCCATCATCCTCACCCTCGTCCTCCCGTCACCCCCGCATGTCATGTCACCCCAGCATGGACACACCCTATAGTGATCGGCCGGCATGCCTTCGGGGATCAGTACCGAGCCACAGAGATGGCCATTCCGGGTCCTGGCAAACTCAAGCTCGTCTATGGTGAGTGCAATTTCGTATGTGAAGTATATGTAGGTGTATGTAGGTTCCGGGTCGTATGTTTGCAGGACGCACCCCATAGTGATTGGCCGCCATGCCTTCAGTGATCAGTACCGAGCCACTGAGGTCGCCATTCCCATCCCGGCCCTGGGAGGCTCAAACTCGTCTACGGTGAGTGCAGATTCCTTAGTATAAGGGTACATACATGCGTTTGAGATCGCTGGGATTGATTCCGAGCTGTCTGGTTTCTCATTTCGCTCATTGTTCCCTTCCCACCCATCAGAAACCCCTCAGGGCACCAGTCAAGTCTTGGACGTGTACGAGTTCAAATCGCCCCCTTCCACCAGCAACGCTACAGATGCCTCTCTCTCATGCCCTTCTCTGTGTGATGCCTCTCTCTCATGCCTCCCTCTATCTTTCCCACCCATCAGAAACCCCTCAGGGCACCAGTCAAGTCTTGGACGTGTACGACTTTAAATCGCCCCCTTCCACCAGCATCGCTGGCGGGGATGGGGGTGGCAGCGGTGTGGCACTCGCTATGTACAACACAGATGAGGTGGGCCGGGCGGGGGGGACGTGTACCCAGGCTGGGGCACCATCTGTTTACCGCTGCCAGCAGCAGTGCTGGGGGTGGGGATGGGGGTGGGGATGGGTTTGGGGATGCGGGTGGTGGTGTGGCACTCGCTATGTACAGCACAGATGAGGTGGGCCGGGAGGGGATTTGAGAATTTGGTAGCACGTGGCACATTTGTCAGGGCCGGGCAGGATATGGTAGCACGGGCTATACCACTATGTACTCTTGCTTGCCTATGTCCCCGTGAGGGCGTTTGCTGAGTCATCCACGCATTCAACGGCATACCAGAAGCGGTGGTCAACTGACTTCTGTTGACTCGATATAGACCCGCATTCACTCACCCCCGCATTCAACCCCGTTGACTGCCATTGACTCCGTCATTTCCAGTCCATCAGGGCGTTTGCCGAGTCCAGTCATCCATGGCTATGGCGCATCAGAAGAGGTGGTCCATTGGTACTGAAAATTGACCAGCATTGACTTCCATTGACTCCCATCGACTCCCATTGACTCCCATTGACTCCCATTGACACCTATTGACCGCCATTCATTGCAGTCCATCAGGGCGTTCGCCGAGTCATCCATGGCCATGGCCTACCAGAAGAGGTGGCCGCTGTATCTCAGCACCAAAAACACCATTCTCAAGACTTACGATGGCAGGTGTGTGTGTGTGTGTGTGTAGGTGGGAGGGAAGAGGAGGGGGGGGGGGGGGGGGGGGGGGCGTTTGTGTCAACTCAAACGTCACCTGGTATCAGAAGAGGTGGCCGCTGTATCTCAGCACCAAGAACACCATTCTCAAGACTTCCGACGGCAGGTGTGTGCGTGGGTGTGTGTAGGTGGGAGGGAAGAGGAGGGGGGGGGGGGGGGGGGGGCGTTTGTGTCAACTCAAACGTCACCTGGTATCAGAAGAGGTGGCCGCTGTATCTCAGCACCAAGAACACCATTCTCAAGACTTCCGACGGCAGGTGTGTGTGTGGGTGTGTGTAGGTGGGAGGGAAGAGGAGGGGGGGGGGGGGGGGGGGGGGCGTTTGTGTCAACTCAAACGTCACCTGGTATCAGAAGAGGTGGCCGCTGTATCTCAGCACCAAGAACACCATTCTCAAGACTTCCGACGGCAGGTGTGTGTGTGGGTGTGTGTGTGTGTGGCCAGAGTGGGGAGCGGAAGGGGGGGGGTTGAGTTGGCTCAAAGGCACAGCGTATCGGTTGAAAGAGGTGGCTGGTGTATCTGAGCACCAACAACACCATCCTCAACTTTTGAGGCGCCTCAAAAGTTTTGAGACGTCTCAAAAGGTGGCCGCTGTATCTGAGCACCAACAACACCATCCTCAAGACCTATGACAGCAGGTGGGTAGCAGAGTGTGGATAATTGTGAGCTTTAACACGTGTAAGTCAAGTCACACGTTTCATGTCACAGCCCTCGCACATACTCTCCCCCGTCCACGCAGGTTCAGGGACATTTTCCAAGATGTGCACGAGAGCAAGTGGAGGGAGAGTTTTGTTTGAGGTTGATTTTGAGAAATGGATTACATCAACCTCGGTTTTGAGAATTCTCAAAATCAACCTCATTTTCCAAGAGGTGTACGAGAGCAAGTGGAGGGAGAAGTTTGAAGCAGCAGGGGTGTGTGAAAGAAGGAGTGTTTCGAGACGTCTCAAAACACTCCTTCTTTCAAGTGGAGGAAGAAGTTTGAAGCAGCAGGGGCGTGTTACAAGCTCCGGCTGATCGATGACATGGCAGCCTTCCGCCTTGAGAGCCCTGGGGCGTTGTCAACGCACAAGTCATGCCCCCTCCCTGCCTCCTCCCCTCCCTCCCTGCTTCCAAGTTCAAGGACATATTCCAGAGTGTGTACGAGAGCAAGTGGAGGGCGAGGTTGAAGCAGCGGGGGGGTGTGGTACGAGCACCGGCTGATCGATGACATGGTGGCCTTCTGCCTCGTCAAGGGCCCGAGAGGGCTCTCTGTTCACAAGCCATGTGTTCTCCCTTTCCTCTCTGCACCCCCTGCTTGCAGGTTCAAGGACATATTTCAACAGGTGTACGAGAGCAAGTGGAGGGAGCGGTTTGAGGCAGCAGGGGTGTGGTATGAGCACCGGCTGATCGATGACATGGTGGCCTTCTGCCTCAAGAGCCCGGGGGCGTTCGTGTGGGCGTGCAAGAACTATGATGGGGACGTGCAGAGCGACATGTTGGCTCAGGGTATGTGGGTAAGCAGAGCAGAGATGATAGCACCTGGATCTGGTGCACAAGCACTGTGATGTGGACGTGCAAGAACTATGATGGGGACGTGCAAGAACTATGATGGGGACGTGCAAGAACTATGATGGGGACGTGCAAGAACTATGATGGGGACGTGCACAGTGACATGCTGGCACAGGGTGGGTGGGTGGGTGGGTGGGTGGGGGTTGAAAAGGCTGAGAGGAGTGCACATGCTGGTGTGTGTGCTCTTTGTCAAAGAGCCAATGCATGTTCATGTGGACGTGCGAGAATGCTACTGCGAGTAGTGCTGCATAGCAATGCGCGGCGTGCCTAGCAATGCGCGAAACAAATGTGGGCCGAGAGAGGCAGTGCAAATCCGCACATGTCTGTTGCGTTTCTGCTGTGTGCCATTTGCTGTTCATCGCAGCATTTTTATGACAAAGCCGCTCTGGAATTCATGCGAAATCATTAGGCGCCTCAAAAAGCACCTGACTACACGCGGATTCCAATTCGGTCATGTGCTGTTTGTCATTGCATGTTTCTGACAAAAGCTCAGCGGGGTTCCTCTTGCAGGTTTTGGCTCCCTTGGCCTCATGACCAGCATTCTGGTGAGTGACCGCTCGTCTTGCTGTGGCAGTATCGCTGTGATTTGATTTTGAAAAGCATTCTGGTGAGTTGTGAGAAAAGCCTTCTGGTGAGTGACCGCCCGTCTTGCATGTAGAATCGCTGCATCTCAGCAGTATCGCTGTGCCAATGTCAATATACGTAATGTGATTCTGGTAAGCATTTTGGTGACCCTAAACCCACGATTAACACAATGGCCTGAAAAAAAATCTGCCTGCCAGGTGTGTCCGGATGGGAAGACAGTGGAAGCGGAGGCGGCGCACGGCACGGTGACGCGGCACTACCGCGTGCATCAGAAGGGCGGGGAGACGAGCACCAACAGCATCGCCTCCATCTTCGCCTGGTCCAAGGGGCTCGCGCACCGGTGGGTGGGGGGTGGGTTGGGGACAATGCCATGGGTAGATTGGTGCAGCACTAACAGCTTGGTGTGCTGTACTGTACGAAAGTAGATGGACCATCACCAGCACCAACAGCATTGCCTCCATATTTGCCCGGTCCAAGGGGCTTGCACACCGGTGGGTTGGGGACAATGGCATGGGAAGATTGGCACAGCACCAACAGCCTTGTCTCCATCTTTGCCTGGTCCAATCCAAGGGGCTCACTCAAAGGTGGGTTGGGGATGGGCTAAGAGCAGGTGGACCGTGGGAGTAAGGGAACAGTGTGTGTTGATCAGGTTCTTGCTCCCTGCCCCTTTCTTCCCTACTTTGCATCTCTCCCCCCACCACCACCCCATACCACCATTTTCCAGTGCCTCTTTGGACGGCAACAGCAGGCTCGCGGCATTTTGCAAGCAGCTGGAGGCGGCGTGTGTTGACACGGTGGAGAGCGGTGGAATGACCCGCGACCTGGCCCTGCTGGTGCATGGGAACAAGTGTGTTGAGTCTTTAGCTAGTCAGTTACTTATGACATAGCGGGTGGACTTATTGGTGATGCAGCTTAGTTATCTCAGCGTTCATTGCGTCTGTTTATGGGTGATTGGGGTCTTGTCCCGCTCTCATTATCCGTCTGTCCCTTTATTCAGCCTCCCTCCCCCCTTAGTATTCTGAGATCCCGTTTGACTCATGCAATTGCACGGCAGTCCCATCCCCTCATTATGCATTTGCACAGTTTCCCTCTTGTTGAACCCACCGACCAACCCCCCACCACCCCCCCCATCACTCCGCCACCCCTCTCTCCGCACCGCATTCTGAATCCCCGCTTGACTACCTCATCTCTACAATGCAGGGTGTCGCGGGCAGATTACCTCAACACAGAGGAGTTTATAGATGCAGTTGCTGCGTGCCTTAGACAGCGCCTGTTGAGTGGAGGGGAGGGCTGTGATGGGCGTAGTAGGTTGTAATGGCAAACATAGGTAGTGCAAAGACGATGCAAGTGGCCATTTCCTTTTTTCTTTTCTAATATACATTGCAGGCTTGCATGGCCAATCATTGTTGGTGATTGACTGCAACATTTTTCAGAGCACTCACACATTCATTACTTCCATACCCAAGGAAATTGACACTGTAATATTGGTACAACAAGAACATGCGATTGTGTAGTACTTTCTTGTAAGGCGTACATCAGAGACACCTCGCAGCCTTCCACTGACCTCACACACGCTCGAGCAGTCGCATCATACATCCTTACCACTTACCCGCCCGGGTTCCACAATACTAGAGCCGAGCCGCTTAGATTCGCGCTAGGCGACGCAGCAGACGGGTGCGTTGATCTAATGGGAAAGGCGAAATGGACGGGCCTGACGGATTTGACGGGCCAACTAGCCTTTCTGCGTCTAACCCAAGCCACCCAGTTTCGGACCAGCTCAGCCAATCACGGATTAGCAGCTCCATGACGTCCCCCTCTCGCTCCGAAGCCACCAGAAGCATACGTCGCTATTCCGAGTCCGGGCGTCTCTCCCACCGCTGCTGCGTCAGCTCCACGCTAGCACGGATTCGGAACGCCCTTTCGGCGAACCTTGAAGGTATCGTCAGCCGTGTCGGCGAACTTTGAAGGATACAGCCTCATGGATCCGGCGGATTGCGAAGGCGACTTGGTCGCAGCGCCTCGGAATCTTATCCAGAAACCGGGACCGCGGAATGTTCTTCGCTGAAATTCGCGTCCAGGCATCATCGGGTTGGGCTGGTTCGTTCTCAGTGCGAACGAATCCGACTCGCGCGGGTAGTGTGACGCGTCGAGCACTCCTCCCAACGGTATGTAAGAAGGCGCTAGTAACATATATTGAATTCATCCACTACCAGTGCTTAACAGTCAAAAGCTCATCATACAGCAGGTAGAGCAAACTCGACAGATCCATCTCATCCTCGCTCGCCGTCTCTCCCCTCGCGGCGAATGGCTTTTCCGTCTCGCTCCCTGACGCTCGTGGCCGTTTTCCTCGCGGCCGCCGCTCTCCTCGCCGCTCTTCCTTCCGCGAGCGCCGCGGGAGTGAATTACAGCAAGAGCGGGCTCGACTGGGAGGTGTGTGAGTCGCCGCCTAGACCCGTGTGGGTGGGTGGTGTGAGAGCATGGGAAGGGTTGAAAGGTGTTATGATGGGTTGCAATCATGTACATGTGTATTGAGTGCTTTGGGCTCGCTACCCAGGGGTTACGCTTTCTGCTAAGCTGCGTGCAGAGTCCAATCCGTCATTATCCGCCAGCGCGTGTATGACTCAGGCAAGGACCCCCTCTCATTCCCCTTGCTCACCTCCCCAATCTCACTCCCTGTTTTTCCTCATCTTTACCGGCCAGGGCGTGTGCGAGTCGGGCAAACGGCAGTCGCCAATCAACATCGTGATGGATGAAGCAAGGACTCACCCCCTTCCTCACTCCCTTTGCTAAAACTCTCCTCCCTCATCTCGTTCCTCTTCCCGCAGGGCGTGTGCGAGTCGGGCGAGCGCCAGTCGCCCATCAACATCGTGATGGATGAGGCAACCACGGTGGACGCACCGGAGAAGTTTGCCCTGGAATATGACTCCGCGCCCACTTCTGCCACAGTCGGCAACAAGGGCTACACCGTCCGTGAGTGTGCCCACCCTCGCTTCCTCTCATTCCTCGTTTCTTCCCGCTCATAATTTCCTCTCAATGTTGTGTAGGACTTGAAAACACCTTCTTGGAACGGATTCTTCCATCCCCTCTCCTCCCTCCCTTTCTCTCTCTCTCTCTCTCTCTCTCTCTCTCTCTCTCTCTCTCTCTCTCTCTCTCTCTCTCTCTCTCTACCTCACTCGCGTTCTCTCTCCGCCCTCCCTCTGTCCCTCCAGAGGTGGTTCCCAACCCCAACCACACCTACAAGCTGCACATCGCCAGTGGAACCTACGAGTTGAAGCAGGTGCACGTGCACGCCTTCTCAGAGCATGCCATTAACGGGCTCTTCGCGCCCATGGAGGCGCACTTTGTGCACGCCCACACCGACGACCCCTCCAAGCTCGCTGTCGTGGGGATCATGCTCCGTCTGCAGCGCGATGATCATACGAGCGATTGGGTTCACTCGTGAGTGGCGTCTTGTCGAGTCAGACTAGAAATTGACTTGTGCGTGAGCACGTGCATGCCATCAACGGGCTCTTCGCGCCCATGGAGGCCCACTTCGTGCACGCCCATGTCGACGACCCGTCGAGGCTCGCTGTCGTGGGCATTATGCTGCGTCTGCAGCGCGACGACCATGCGAGTGGCTCTAGATCATGCGTCTTCTGATTCTTTTTGTTTTCTTCCATTGTCTCCGTCTTCTCCGAGACTTGGGGTTTCTTGCTCTTTTACTATGCTTGGCACTCCATGGGAGTCTTGAAATACGCTATTCTTGTTTTTCACTATACATCGTCCTTTTCCATCACCACCTGTATCCTACACAGCTGGTTGGGCAAGACCCTCTCGGAGGTGAATGGGACAGCCACCATTGACGTTCCCAAGAACTTCTAGAGGGAGATGGTGGATGTGTCCATGGGGTTCTGGCGCTACCCCGGCTCGCTCACCACGCCGGGCTGCGATGAGATTGTTGAGTGGCACGTGCTGCGCAAGGCCCAGTTCCTCTCCGTTGCTCAGGTGAGATGTGCTAGGATTTCGGAAATAAAATTCGTTACATGGTAAGAATGGTGTTCCATGTTTCATCGCTCTCGTCCCAATCCTCACTACCCACTGTGTCCCCACATGCTGTTCACTTCTCAACAGGCTGCGACGTTCATGAATCTGATGGCCAGCATGAACAAGGAGCGTACCAACAACCGCATGCCCGAGCCACTCAATGGCAGGAAAGTCACTTACTTCACTAAAGTCGCAGCCTGATTACGGCCAAGCATCGTCCTGGTTGATGGGCATGGTTATAAAGATGGGACATGGTCAGGTCCTGGAACCGATGTATGATTTTCTATTGCAATGGATTAACATGTTCAGTTCCGTAATATGCAATTCCTTAAGCAGAAACATGGTTTCTAGGTAACAGCATCTTCTTGTTTCCTTTCGTACAAAAACACTGGCTTTGATACAGTTATATACAGAATATGGACTATCGTTTCATGTTTTACATAGCATCCAACTTGCTTTGCCTCATCTTTTTGAAGCATGTTTGCCTTCTTGCACCAATCCGAATTCGGTGTGGTCAGCAGTTGGCCGACCTCGAACCTCGGAATGGTTGTGATCGTGTGATGATTTGCGCGCACCGACACGCACCGTGGCAAGATTGCGCTTCGGCTCCGAGTCGCGGTCACACATAAGCATCACCGCCCTCCATTAGGCACTGTGTACGGTCAACAGCATCTGCTGTCCCCCAGCCCTCTCTGCGACAATTCAGGATTCCAAAGCGACAGTGAACGACGACAACACTCCCAGGGCGAAAAACGTGGTGCGCCATGACCAAGAGGGCGTTGCCGTGCGACACATCAAATGCTGTCGTTGCTTGCGCCTCTGCTCTTTGCTCCAGCTCGTGGCGGAAATCGTCCACCCTTTCAGGCGCGATTTCCAGCACCATCCTTCACACATCCAGGGGGAACAGGTCACGACTCGTGGAGTGGTGCTTGTGTGCTCGCACAAAAGCCACAGGAATCGATTATTCTTATCAGTCACTCTGCTTACGCCATACGCCAAGGCCCCCTGGCACTTCAGATTGTTCTTAGCAGAACCGTCGACGCCTGTTTGTGCATAGACGTAGCGTCAAGCCCAGCATAGGTTCACATGGATCGCAGACCACTTCTGGTCGTTCTATTACTTGCGCTATCATCCAGCGCACATGCATGGAACTATGTCAAGAGTGGCCAGGACTGGACGGTACGTCCCGCGAGCGCTTAGTACCCTGTACTGATTATGTTTTGTCTTTTTTGGCATTTCCGTTTGTCCCGCCCGCCAGCTATAAGTTATCCGCATTGGAGAAAAGGAGCTCGTCTCAATACATGCGTGCCCACGGTGCATTCGTGGCGACGAGCTCGTGCTGTTCCGCGGGAGATTAATCATCGGTTTTGTTGAGTTCCAAGAATAAAACATATCAGCGAAACCGCCAGCGGGAGATCAACCCATCCATCTTGCGGCCGTCACCTGTTTTGTCCCTTCACCGTTTTCCACCACCATATTCCCTCTCCCCCCTCCCCCCCTTCCTCCTCCCTCTCTCCCCCCCTCTCTGCGCGTTCTTTGTCTTGTCAACAGGGTGCGTGCCAAACGTCGCGCGCGCAATCGCCGATTAACATCGAGCCGTCGATGGCGGTGAAAGGCAAGGACCTGCGCTTCCTCAACATCAGCTACGCCCTCAGCAAATCGCTCACCGTTTCTAACTTCGGCTTCACAGGAGGTACGCCATCCCACCCTAGCACAATCACACAGCTCTCGACTTTAGAAGGAAAGTTCACCCCACTTTTGTCTGATTTGCGGCTCCGTCAGCGTCGTCTTGTTTCTGTCTAACCGTCGTCAGCCCGATTTTTTTCGTATTTTTTTTCTGTTGTCTCCACCAGGGGTGCAACCGCAAGCCGGCACGGAGAATTTTATGTACACGTCAACGGGCAAGTTTCGTCTGCTCGGCATTCTGCTGCGCGCCTCGTCGGAGCACACCATCCTCGGCGCGCCCGCGCCGCTCGAGGCGCACTTCGTGCACGAAAACGTCGCCAACCCCGCGAAGGGCGCAATCATTTCTGTGATGATCGTGATTCACAAGAACAACGTCCGAAACCCGTGGCTCGACAAGTGAGATCCCTTTCCGAATACAACGCAAACTGTCTGCATAAGCAAAACATACGTTTATTTTGTCTCATTAACGACAAAGGGATTTCACATGCCTTTATTCCCCACCTCCCCCTACCACCTCTCACCTTCCTATTTCCTTCTGCCTTTCCCCGTCCTTCCCCGCCCTTCTCCGCCCGTAAACCCCCCTGATCGCCTGCGCAGGTGGCTGCCGTACATTCCCAAGGCGGTGAACACGTCAGTGTCCGTGCCCGCAACGACCAACTTCAAGGAGGCGTTGAACGTCAAGTACGGCTTCTGGTATTACCGCGGCTCCACCACGTACCCGCCCTGCGCGCCCAACATCGAGTGGTTCATCCTCAAGCGCGGCCTCTACGGCTCCGTCGAGCAGGTGAGCGTAGGCGCTACGATTGATTTTGTCACATCTCTTTCCAAGTTCCGGAGCATTTGGTTAGCATTGGTTCGGCATCACCAATTTCCAGTTTTGGTTGCGAGAATCTTCCTGATGCACGGGCCGATTTATCTGCCCCAACCAGCCTTCCTCTGAAACACGTGAAACTGATGAAACTGATTTCTGTTCTGTTCAGATCGAGGGGTACATGAACCTGCTCGCCGCATCCAGCGGTCAGCGCACCAACAACCGTCTCCCTAGGCCAATCAACGGCCGTACTATCATCTCGTACCCCAAGCAGCGCAAACCGAAACGGTTGTAGGGTTCTAGACATCGCGTTTAGAAGGTCCTAGAATCGTACATTAGACGCCCTGTTCCGGAGCCGAATAAAATGCTAAAAATCTACTAAGTAGGTTTCCCTATTTTAGCTGTATGAATCGCACTAATTTAGTAAGAATGTGTATCGCGGAGTGTACTGAATTGAATGCTGACTCATGTGGAACCCCCAACTCCTCAGGGTTGGGTTGTGCATGGCTAAGCAATGTGTCTCGAGCCGCCGGCAACGTGTTGAGCGCCTGATGGATGCTGCAAGCAGCCTCGACCTAGATTGCCTCGCTTCCACTACTTGCACTTGCGTGACCCGCTTCGCACTGAAAAAATCTACATGTAGCAGAACCCTAACAGTCCGTTCGAGTTCAAAACTACCATAGCTCCGTTATCCTCCGTTCTCTGCTTCCCGAGACAGTACCCAGCTCTGACTGAGCAGTCTCCTTTCTCCGTCCCTGGGCCCGTTGGATCCAACGGCAACATGCAAGAGCCCCACACCCAAGAGCCCAGGCACGCAGACGGGACACAGCAGCAAGTCCGCCGCGAATCCAAATCGCCACCACCAGCGTCGACACTGTCTCGAGATGAAGCGTCCCTCAGGAGCAGCAAGGCCCCCACCCCTGCTGCAGGCACTCCCCTTCCACGCGCGACCTCGGCACCTGTGGGTGCTTCTTCTACGCCTTCAAAGGAGGACCCAGCCGCTGCAAAGCCAGGTAGCAAGAGCCTGGCTGAGCTTGTAAGGGATACGGATCTGGAGCCAGATGAGGAGGTTGCTAGGTATGGCGAGATGAAGAACTATGTTGAGGCTATGGCCAAAAATCGCTCTCCGGAGAAGGGTGCTGCAGAGGGTGGAGAAGGAACAGGGAGCAGCACTGGCGCTTTTTCTGGGAAGGAAGGTCACGCCATTCCAGATGAGGTACAGTAAAATGGGAGTTTCTTGTTAGCAGTGCTTTGTAAGGGGGAAGGCACTAAGCGAGGGGCTGATTTTACCTGTTGGCCTCTTTGCAGGAGGTGAAGCACCTGAAGCCCCAGCAGCGAGCATGACTGCTGACACAGCTGAGAAGCAGCCATCTTTGCACTACATGGATTTGCCTGTATTGAGTAGTAAAAGAGTGCTACCGTATAAACCACACTACTGAGGGAGTAGCTATAACAGGATTGAAATGGTGCATGCTTGTTTACCTCTTTGTACATACTCTAAAATTGCTACATTGGTGTAAAACAGACTTTGATTTGGCATTTGCAATTCATTCCCATCAGAACAATGACATTGCATTCTAGTTCATCACGCTAGTTAACAGGCACCACACCAACAATTCTACAGCAGTGTTTTTGGAGTCACGGTTTTTCAGCTTTCATACTAAATGCCTCCTCTAGTCAAGATGAATCGCGCAATTACTAAAAAGTGTAGCTATTGCATGCCAGTCGATAATTCGTCCTCCTGACGTGTCAATGGCAAATTTAGTCCACTTGGAGGATAGGGAGGAAGTGGTGGGACTTTCCTAGCATCAGCAAGGCGCTGGCTGGGTTGGGAGAAAGCCAATGTCGCGCTTCGATTTGAATCGCGTCGCTTCGCATGTTTATTCGAGTCGCACCCAATGCAATTGCAATCTGCACGGGAATACAATTTCAGCAGCAGCACACTGACCAACCCACCCACCACAAATATCTCTCACCCACGCAGTCTCGCATCATTTCGGAAACTACTGAATTTTAACTGCAAGAATCTAGAGAAACGCGCATCTGCATCTGACGAATTCCCCGCACCACGCGATTATGGACAGGGTCAAGGAAATTTTTGGCGGAGAGAAGAAGCGGGAGGAGTCTCGCGAAGGCGAGTACGGATACGGCTCGCGCGGAACAGCTGCAGGGGAGCCAGAATACGGTGGCCACGGCCAGCAGCATCGCCACGGGCACGAGTACGAGCGCGAAACGCCCGGATACGGCGGAGGCTCTACCAAACGCTCGGGATATTCCGGTGTGACAGGTCGCGAGAGAGGCACGGAGTATGGCGGCACGGGCCCGACTGGATACGGTGGTGAAACTGGCTATGGAACCTTTTCCAGTAGTGAAGGCGGCGGTTTAGGCGGACGTCATCATGGCACCCGCGAAGAGACGACCGGCTATGGCGGAACGACGGGTTGCGGAGGGATGACTGGGGGAGGTACAACTGGATATGGCGGCACGGCTGGGGGAGGTACAACCGGATACGGTGGTACCACTGGTGTAGGCACAACCGGGTACAGAGAACGTCACGGAGAGCGCGGATACGGGGAGCGAGGTTACGGGGAGCGCGAACACGGGGAGCGCGCATACGGGGAGCGCGGATACGAGGGACACGAGGAACGTCTTGGAGGTCGTGGTGAAGAACGATTGACCGAGGAAGAGGTAATGTTATTATTTTCCCTTCCTTTTTTTGTCAGTTTTTTATTGCAAAACGTGTTTTTACAGTCAATACAGCATCAGTTGTCGCTTCCTTTCCTATCCTCTTTCGTTTCTCGGTACGCTCTGAGCAACAACAGAAGATGCGCAAGGAGTACGAGGGGCACAAACGTGGCGAGCGCATCGGCGAGGCGATTGCGGCTGGTGCTGCAGCGTATGCGGCACATGAAAGGCATGAGAGGAAGGAGGACGAGGAGGATATCAAGGAGAGGCAGAGGGAGGCCGAGGGAGGTCACAAGAAGCACGGCTGGTTTGGCTAGAAGATTTGCTTTGTACTGTATGTCAGTTCTGGAAGTAGTAGTGTTGTGATTGTGAATGTCAACTGACACACGTTGTACAACTGAATTTGCTGTGCATTGTTTCTATGTTCTGTTCCTTGCCTGCTGTTGTGCGATGACACTGCAATCCAGTTGCCACCAATGCCAAATATGGACTAAGTTAATCCCAACTTGTTACCAGCAAGCATTATACCGGTATGTCCATATTACTCGTAACCACTTCACCAGCAACCAGTTTACCACCTTCTCCCGCCAAACTCTGACCAAACACAAAGCGTAGACTAAACCCTCCCCCAAAAATCATCCTATATTGCTGAGTCAACAATCTCAAAAAAATGTACTACTGGTACTCTACCCAAACACGTTCTCGCCCATCCAGCCAACTACCTAAAACCAACAATCTGACGTTCTCAACAAACTAATACCACCTCCAACTCCACTGCACAACCCACAAACTGGCACCAGCTACCCCTCAGTTCATACCCAACACCTCCAGCCCCCTCCCCGTCCATCAACCGGTCCTTCAGCTCACTTGTCGTCACCTTCCCATACTCCTCACACTCTCACTCTTGCACAAACTTAACGAACAAGTCTACCAGCTGCCCCTTTGTGGGCGTCCTCATTTCAAGCACATCCAACCCCCTCCCCTCGTCCGTCAACCTGTCTTTCAACTCACTCTTTGTCATCTTCATCGCAATCTCCCTCCGCCTCTTCGCCACATCAGACTCCCCAGCCACATCAGCAGCCGTCACCGCACCCACCCCAGCTGCCGGCCTCCCTCTCCCCCTCCTCCCTCCTCCACCCCTCCTACCCCTCCCTCTCCCCCTCCCCCCTTTGCTACTCTCCGCCTCGTCCCCCTCAGCTCGTTCCTTTCCCTCCCCAGCACCAAACGCCCCTCCGAACGAGGCTGAATCCATATCCATTTCACTGCCCTGCCCTGTTGCCTGGGCTGACTCAAACCCTGTATTGCCTGACGCTGCGGGTGACGGTGCTACCACAACTCCTCCTCCTCCTGCTGCTGCTGCTGCCCCGACTGGTGGCGCTGCTGCTCCTGACGCACCAGCAACACCAGCGGCAGTAGCGCCAGCGGAAGGAGCAGCAGGTGCCCTCTTGCTCGCCCCCCTGCCTCTCCGCTTGCCTCCTTCTCCCCCTGCTGCTGTCCCTGCAGCATCGCCTGTCACAGCACTATCACCCGCCCCTTCCACGCCTGCCCCTGCACCACCCCCAGCAGTACCACCTGCACCAGTTAACCCTGCCTCAGCCGCACCTTCTTCTCCACCAGTCCCACCTTCCCCAGCAGCACCGCCCTCCCCTGCAATCCCGCCTTCACCAGCAACACCCGTGCCCAGTCTCGCCCTCTTCCTCTTCCTCCCCGCCTCCTCTCCCTCCTCCACCTCCATCTCCTCCGCTCCCTCGCCCTGCCCAGCACCCCCCCTCCCCTCCCCTCTCCCCCTCTCCCTCTCCCTCTCCTGATTCCCCCTCATAGCCACTTCCAGCATCCCCCTTAGCCGCGAAATCTCCTCCTCTCTCACTCTCACCACCCCCTTCATCTCCTCCCTCTCGCCCCTCACCACCCCCATCTCCACCCCCATCCCCTCCACCACCTGTCTCAACCGCTCTAACTCCCCTTTCAGCCGCTCCATCTCAGTCCTCGCTTCTCCCTCCTTCCTCCTCCACCCCTCCCTCTCCACCTCACACACAGCCAGCATTGCCATCGTTTCCCCAACCTCCTCCTTCCTCCTTCCCACCTCTCCTTTCAACTCCTCGATTTCCCTCACCATACCTTCCACCTTCCCCTTCCCCTCCTCCTCCCCTTCTGCTGCCCTCAATCTCAACCCCTCTAGTTCCCTCTCAAGCTCCCTCGCTCTCCTTTCGGCAACCTCCGCCCTCTTTCCTGCCACCTCAGCTGCTGACTGTGCCACCTGGGCCTCCTCCATTGCCATCTGGAGATCTTTTGCTGCTGAGTCAGCACGAATGCAAGCCTGGCGTGCCAGCTCAGCCTCGCGCCGGGTTGCCAGCTCAGCAGCGGTCCGTGCTGACTCAGCCTGACGCAGCTGGCGCTCCATCTTCTCTGTCGCTTCTTCTGCTGTGGCCTTGGCCTCCCGAGCAGCCTGGTTGAAAAAGAGAAACATTAGGGAAGATAGGTTCAGGAAACGAGAGAAGCGTGGCCACCCGTGCAAGCAATGTGGCCTACTCATCTAAAAAGGAAGAGTCCTATCCCCTTCCTCTCCTTCTTCTGCTACGATCTTAGCCTTCTGTGCATCCCGGGAGCATCGGGGGTTAAGGAAGATGAAGCGGGGAGGGTTTGTGAGGAGCAACAGAGAAGAAGAGTAGACAGATGGAAGAAACGGGTAGAGATAAAGGGATGAATCCCATACCTCTCCTTTCTCTGCTGAGGTATTGGTTGGCAGTGTGGCATGGGAAAAGCGGGGGTTGGGAAGGTGCGAGGTGTTGTGATGAAGGATGGGAGCACAAAGAGAGGCCCACGGATTAACGTGCAGAGACTTGCACAGACGAATGCCCAAATCAGGAAATACCACATGAACAATGGCGTTTCTGTTTCAAATGTCTAAAAAAAACACCTGGCACATGAACTTTATGTGAATCCCAAACGAGGCAATACTGCACGCTCTTGCTCGCCCCTCTCATGCCCTCCTCAGCCTCCTTCTGGTATCTCTCATCCATATTCAAAAGGCATACGCATGTCTACACGGCCATACCTGCACGCTCTTGCTCGCGCTGCCAGCCGTCCTGCTCGCCTCCCTCATGCTCTCCTCTCCTCAGCTTCTTTCTGCCAACTCTCGTCCATTGTTGAAGGGATATGCATGCAAACAAGCCCATACCTGCACGCTCTTGCTCGCGCTGCCAGCCGTCCTGCTCGCCTCCCTCATGCTCTCCTCTCCTCAGCTTCCTTCTGCCAACTCTCGTCCATTGTTAAAGGGATATGCATGCAAACAAGCCCATACCTGCATGCTCTTGCTCGCACTGCCAGCCGTCCTGCTCGCCTCCCTCATGCTCTCCTCTCCTCAGCTTCCTTCTGCCAACTCTCGTCCATTGTTAAAGGGATATGCATGCAAACAAGCCCATACCTGCACGCTCTTGCTCGCGCTGCCAGCCGTCCTGCTCGCCTCCCTCATGCTCTCCTCTCCTCAGCTTCCTTCTGCCGACTCTCGTCCATTGTTAAAGGGATATGCATGCAAACAAGCCCATACCTGCACGCTCTTGCTCGCGCTGCCAGCCGTCCTGCTCGCCTCCCTCATGCTCTCCTCAGCCTGCCTCTCTCTCGCCTTTGCCTCCACCAGAGCCTTTTCCATTGCTGCCAGCCGTGCTGCTTGCGACTGCAATGGGAGAGATGGGAAGAAAGAGAGGTATCAGGTGGCCTGAGAATACTCGAAAATCCCTCAAGTGTGTTGGTGCGACTTTCGGGAATTCTGAAAAGTCGCACCAATATGGAAGAAAGAGTGGTATCAGGTGGCTTGAGAATACTCGAAAATCCCTCACTGTGCCACGTGTCGCACTTCCCACCAGCTCACCTCCAGCTTGTTCTTCTGCTCAATTTCGCCCCCCCAACACCCCTCTCATCCGCGTCCAACCCCTCCCCCCTACTTATGTTTTTTGAGAATTCTAAAAAAACATAAGCTTGTTCTTCGGCTCAATTTCACCCCCCCAACACCCCTCTTGTCCGCATCCAACCCCTCCCCCCTAGTTCCGCATCACCTCCAGCTTCACCTGCAACTCACTACCCTCTCCATCATCCCCTTCTCCGACCCTCTCAACCGCACTCAACCACCAACCCCTTCATTCACACCGACTCACCTCCAGCTTCACTTTCAGCTCGCTCGCCTCTGCCACTACTTTGGACGCCTCTGCTCTCAACTGCTGCTCCAACGCACTCTACCATCACTGCTGCACCCCTCTCAACCTCACTCAACCCCACTTCCCTTGCACGCACACCGACTCACCTCCAGCTTCACTTTCAGCTCGCTCGCCTCCGCCGCTGCTTTCGACGCCTCTTTTCGCAGCTGCTGCTCCAATGCGCCCTGCCAGGAGGATAATGCGATGTGGCATAACAAGAAGGTGTTCAAATCGGTGTGGCAGCCTTTGAGGCGCCTCAAATGTCATACTGCGGTGGGGCATAACAAAGAAGGTGTTAAAATCGGTGGAACAGTGCCAGGGATGGGGGGGCCGGGGGTGTTTCATGACTGGATAGCAGACAAGGAGCATGCCCAGCTGAATTAAAATCACCAAATGCCCATTCCCACCCCACCCGAACCCACCCCACCCGACCCCATGCCACCCCACCCCCATCCCAGCATCGCACCTTCTCCTTCTGAATCGCCGCCACTTCAGCCTGCCTCCGCTGCTTCTCCCTCTCCACCTCCCCTCTTAGCCCCTCCCTCTCCCCAACCACCTTCTCCACCTCCCTCTTCCCCTCCCCCACCTCCTTCTCATACATACCCCTCCACTTCACCTTCTCCCCTTGCTCCTCTCCCACCCTCCTCTTCGCCTCCTCAAGCTGCCCCTTCACTTTCTCAACCTCCCCACTCACTCTCTTCACCTCCTTCTCCCCTCCCTCCCTCACTCTCTCCACCTCCTTTCTCAACTCTGCACACTCCCTCTCTCGCTCATCCGCCCTCCTCCTCCCCTCCTCCATCTCCTGCCTCATCCTCTCCCTCTCCTCCCTCCCTTCTCCAACCGCCCTATTAGCTGCTGCCAGCTGTCCTTCCACTGTCGCCACCCGTTTCTTCCAGTCCTCAGCTGCGGCGGCCTCCCGAGCCGCGGCCGCAGCCTCGGCGGAGGCCCGAGCCTCAGCGGCCTGCTTGTCCTTGAGTGCAGACGAGGCTTGCTGCCTTGCTTCGGCGACCTCCTTTTCAGCCGAATCCAAAACAAGCCCGCGCATACTGTGCGTGAGGGGATGGGAAAGGGGGAAGGGGGTAAGCTTTGAGAACAATGACGAAAATCACAACTAGGCTGACACTTCATTATGCTAACAATGGCAGGAAAAGGGGATACGGATGACATTGGGACGATCACAACCACCCGACAGTCACTCCACAACAACCACACCGCACTCAATGCTGACCTGGCAACGAGGAACGCTGACAAGCAGCGCCACTTGGCAGCGCCCGACATGGACGACTCGTACGCCGCCAGCTCAGCAATCAGCGCGTGCACCACATCAGCAGTCGCCGCCCGCGGAGGCCCCCTGGCGAGCCCCTTGACCTTGGCCTCTAGTGCATCGAGATACCGCTTGCACCTCACTTCTGCCTCTGCTGCCACCCGCTTTAGCACATCCTGAATAGGGCCAGGGGGCACAACAAGGCACAGTACGACGCAGGGGGGAAGCACAAGGCAGAACGCATGGAAAGGCATAAGAAATGAGTTCAATCGCATGGTGTCAGCAATGGCACGCCCGTGGAGGCCCCCCTGGCGAGCCTCTTGACCTTGCCCTCTAGTGCATCCAGGGACCGCTTGCACCTCACTTTCGCCTCTGCTGCAACACGCTTCAACATGTCCTGAATAGGTAGGTCCAGGGGGCACAACAAGGCACAGAGCGGCACAGAGGGGAAGCACGAGGCACAACACATGGAAAGGCATAAGTAATGAGTTCAATCGCATGGTGCCAGCAATGGCACGCCCGGGGAGGCCCCCTGGCGAGCCCCTTGACTTTTGCCTCTAGTGCATCCAGATACCGCTTGCACCGTACCTCCGCCTCTGCTGCCACTCGCTTTAGCACATCCTGCTCAAACACAGATGGGAACAGCGAGGCAGAGTGGGGCACAACGAGAGGCCTTTGACTTTGGCATCCAGAGCATCGACGTGGAGTGTGCATCACATTTCAGCCTCTGCTGCCTCTACGACAGTAACACCACCCCCACCCCCAGCCACTCCATTCCATCCCACCCCATCCCACCTCACTCCACCCCACCCCACTCCACCGCACTGTGCCTCACCTCGAACCTCTTCCCAGCCTCCTCCCTGAGCTTCTCCTCGTACTTGTGTCTGGCCTGCCCCTCCCCCACCGCCTCCTCCCTGAAAGCCGCCTCTGCTGCTTGCAGTGCTGCCCTGTGGTGAGCCCTCAGGTCGTCCTGGGGAGGGAGTGAGAGGAGGGAGTGAGAGGAGGGAGTGAGAGGAGGGAGTGAGAGGAGGGAGTGAGAGGAGGGAGTAAGAGGAGAGTGAGAAACCGAGCAAGTTAGCAACAGCATCAGCAGTGGAGCACATCAACCGGCTCATTTCATATTGGAATGACTTTTTGAGATTAAGAGAACCACATGTGCTAGAAGAAAAGCAGAAAAGCGTACTGCAAGAGGCATGTCAACAACAAGCCCACCTCATCAGCAGAAGCGGGGCTGCCAAATGCTCTGCTATATGCCTCCAGTGCCGCCTCAAACGCCCTGCGACACTCTGTTTCCTCCACACTCTGCGAACATCAATAATCACACGGAAAAGAGGGAGGAGGAGAGACGGGGGGTGAGGGAGCAGGAGAGAATGGCAAAGGCGGGGTTGGCGTGGAGAGAGAAGAGGAGGCGACGAGGAAAAAGAAGACACAAAATTCACAGATCAATAGAGGGAGAGGAGGCACACACACATACCCGGATCCAATTTCAAGCTGCCCGTGTAATTGGTAAGTTAAGGGGACTCTTGAAGTTTACTCACCAGCCAGGAGTTGAGGATGGTGATTTTTTAGGCGCCTCAAGAACCGATTTCAAGCTGCCCGTGTAATTGGTAAGTTAAGGGGACTCTTGACGTTCACTCACCGGCCAGGAGTTGAGGATGGTAATGTTTTAGGAGCCTCAATAACCGATTTCAAGCTGCCTGTGTACTGAGTAAGTTAAGAAGACTCTTGACATTCACTCACCAGCCAGGAGTTGAGAATGGTGGGCACAGCCCCGTTATTGAGTGCCTGGATATACGTCTGAGTGAGCCCAGCCAGCATTGGCCCCGTCATGACTGTGCCGCCCACCCTCTTGGGGCGAGCGCGCGCAAACACCGCCTGGGTGAAGGCATCTAACCCCTGCTTGAACTCTGGACGGAGCTGGTCCATCTGCACGCGGGGAGAGGTGGGAGGGGAAGGAGTGAGGGTTAAGGAGATGAAGTGAGGAGACAGCGCGTGCAAACACGGCCTGGGTGAAGGCGTCTAGCCCCTGCTTGAACTTTGGACGGAGCTGGTCCATCTGCACGCGAGAAGAGGTGGGAGGGGAAGGAGTGAGGGTTAAGGAGATGAAGTGAGGAGACAGCGCGCGCAAACACGGCCTGGGTGAAGGCGTCTAACCCCTGCTTGAACTCTGGACGGAGCTGGTCCATCTGCACGCGGGGAGAGGTGGGAGGGGAAGGAGTGAGGGTTAAGGAGATAAAGTGAGGAGACAGCGCGCGCAAACACGGCCTGGGTGAAGGCGTCTAACCCCTGCTTGAACTCTGGACGCAGCTGGTCCATCTGCACGCGGGGAGAGGTGGGTAGGAAGGTGATGGGTAAGGGGCATTGCAGGAGAGGACGGGAAGAGAGGACCGACTGACACTACATAAACCGCCTGGCTGGGTGAACGCACCTAACCCCTGCTAGAACTGAACTCACAGGCCTCACAGGCCTCTCTGGTTCACACCTCACAGTACTCACGGGCAGGTGGTCGAGCTTCTGCAGCAAGCGTTCGTTGCTGATGGGGCGAACGAGAGCGAAGCAATCACGGTCGGGGAAGAGCGAGCGGATGGACTCGCGGATCTGCACGGATGACACGCGGAAAAAGGGGGAAGGAAGAGGATGTCTTTCCGTAAGCACACGCCTAAGGGAAAACCAGTCACGGTCAGGGAAGAACAAGTTGACTCTTGAGTTGACTCTTGAGTTGACTTTTGAGTTGACTCATAAGCACACGCCTAAGGGAAAACCAGTCACGGTCAGGGGAAGGGAAGAACAAGCGGATGGACTCGCGAATCTGCACGGGTGAAAAAGGGCAGAGAAGTTGGCTCGGATGGGAGTTAGGAATGACATGGGAGTTGGTAAGGCAAGGTCGGAAAGTGAGGTCAATGTGACTTCCATGGGAGTTAGGAATAAGACGGGAGTTGGCATTGGGAGGTGAAACACAAATGGCGAGAGTCGAGCACTCCAAACCGTGGTGCAAGCCATGCAATATTGCACAGGTGCTCGGAGAGAGAAGGAGGAAGTACAACAACGGAGCAACAGACTGAGGTTCTGTACCACAACCCACGCCTCACCACACCCCCACTGCGCCCCACCGCACCCCACCACCCCCCACCTGGTTCTTGGCCCGTGCGGACTCAGAGCCCTCCGCCATGGACTGCAACGCCGTCTCCAGGTGCATGCACAGCCCACGCCCCACGCCACGCCCCCCACACCACTATGCACACCACACCACGCACCACCACGCCTCACTACCCCTGACAACATCCCACCACGCCCCACCTGGTTCTTGGCCCGTGCGGACTCAGAGCCCTCCGCCATGGACTGCAACGCCGTCTCGAGATAGTCCCGCGGGGTTATCACCCGGCCATCCTCCGTGAGGTCAAAGTAAAAGTCCTGTGGAGAGGGTGGTGTGGGAATAAGAAGAAAGGGGAGGGGAGGTAAAGGGGAGGGGAGGGCGAGAGTGAAGAGAGGCAGAAGGCAGTCCCATAGGGTGATCACGCGGTCGTCCTCCGTATGATTAAAGTAAAACTCCTGCGAAGAGGGCAGGAGTGAGAGGAGGGGAGGCAAAGAAGAACGGAGGCAATGGAGTGTGCACGGACGGAGAGAGAAGAGGAGAGACAGGAGGAAGTCTCGGGTGGTAACCATTCGGCCGTCCTCCATAAGATCAAAACAGCAGTCCTGCCAGAGGAGGCAGAGGGAAGAGTGAATAGACGAGGCAATGGTGTTTGAACGGCTAGCAAAAGAGGACTCGACGACTCGACCACTCCTGCTGTGACATGCCTCTCACCTTACTGTGACCACAGAAACTTACTCTCAGCAGCCAGAAGAACACCGGAGAGAACAGCCCCAGCTCCTGCGTCGTAGAAGACGACCCCGCTGCTCCCGCTGCTCCTCCTGCTCCTCCTCCTCCTTGTGCAGCAGAAGAGGCGGAGTTGGCGCGCACTTGGATGTGCTTGGCCATCTCAGTGACCATGGACAGGCGGTCCAGCGACGACTCATCGATGCCACCCATCTGGTTGTACACGAACAGGGACGACAACAGCACCGCCAGCGAGAAGATCTGCGTGCTGTACGTGCCCTGTGGACCGCGAAACAAAGAGAAGAGACATGGGGTGGAAAGAAGTATTAGGACGACTCGTCGATGCTGCCCATCTGGTTGTACACGAACAGCGATGATAGCAGCACCGCTAGCGAGAAGATATGCGTGCTGTACGTGCCCTGCACACGCGGCACAAAAAAGAGAAGCGTGGAGAGGGAAGATGTTTTGAGACGTCTCAGAACGTGTGGTACGCGACGCGCACACACACACAGCACACAAAGAGACAGAAGGAACAGCAGAGCTGGCGTTTCAGCTAACTCAGACAGCAGCACGACCAGCGGTAAAATCCGATTGCTATACGCGCCCTGAACGCGCTCTGTACCTCACCGTCTGGTCGTCACCTCGATGCCCTCTGAGGTCAGCAGCAGCAGCAGCAGCAGCAGCAGCAGCCGGTGGTGGCATCATCCCTCAGAATCTGTCACCTTATATTAAATCCCGACAATCCAAGTGCTCTCACCGTCTGATCGTAGGCGTCAATGCCCTCTGAGTCCAGCAGCAGCAGGTGGTACGACGATCCGTCCGGAGCTGTGACTTTAACTGGCGAGCTCCAGATCCACAGCCCCTTGGTGCACGGCCGGTGCGTGGGGCCCACTGTGAACCCACTGCTGCGTCCCAGCAGCTGCGGAGGAAGGGTTATGAAGGGAAAGAGGGGACCGGATGAAAAGGAACGCAGTGACCAGGCACATGAGTCTCACTGCGAACCCGCTGCTGCGACTCAACAGCTGAGCGATTGCTTTAGAGTTTCTAGCACTCATACGCGAGTAATATCGAGAATCTGAGCAAAAAACATAAACGCAGCAGCTATAAATTCGCGCACTCACGTCCCTGCGAGGGACAATCGAGACATTCCTTGTAAGTCGGTCAACGGGAACGAACCCCCCATTTCTACCTGATTCAGTATGAAGCTCTTTCCCTGCCTCGCCCTTCCGCACACCGCGACAACCCCGAGGGGTCCTCGCAGTCGCCGCAGCGCGCTGACGGCTTCGGGATCCATTCGGAACACCCCTTGGTCATCCTTGTACACCAGCCGGATCGCGCGTGACGTCAGCGGATCGGGAATCGACGCGGCGACCGGGGATCCGACTTCTCGGGATTGAGGTAACGGGGAGAGAGTAGCAGGAGCGGGTCGCGTGGGTGTTGCCGATGGATTCGATTGCCTAGGAATTGACGGCATCGGTGACCTTAGCCCAGTTGTGGGGGATCGTGCGGCTGTAGCAGGAGATGCGACTGGCGACTGAGAGTTGCCGGTCCCGCCTCGATTGAATATCCACGACATGCTGTCTCGAATATGATTGTTCTAACACGCCTGATAAGCTGTTCGTATACTGTAAGATAGACTTAGGGTAAGGCTGATGGAGTTTTAGGCCATCCAAAACTTGACTAATTGCACATTCGAGTCTAGGGTGGCGTAGGATAGAGCCAACCAATCACAAAATCGTGCTACGTTCGACGACAGAAAATACAACAATAGTATGAAACCCAATATGAAGATTCACAACAAGTGATCTGTCAAAGACTGTCAGCAAGGTGCCGACCTGGGGACAGAAACCAGCACCTGAAAACTGAAATGATCCGGAGTCGAGATTTGCTGTTCTGGGAGGTGTGTCTCATCTGAATGCAAGCTTGAGCCAAACTCTAGACGAGAGACCCGTGTGAGGGAAAGGCTGTGGGGAATCGCGCGGGAATTTCGAAGTTGCAGACTCGTGGCGGGCAGGGGCTGACACCGAGGTTCTGACGCTCGCGGTTTAGTTCTGATAATGATTTCGGTGTTTTCCGTTTGTTTTTGAGTTACTGAATACAAATATGGTACACACTGTAAAATAATTACTCATTGTATTGATAATTGATAAAAAAAATGGGTGCGGCTTAGAATGCTGGAGCATTAACACCCAGTCATGTGAATACACACACGGTCTTGGCTGTATACTTTATAAAAAGGGAAAATGATCTACTTGCTTGCTAGGATGTTGAGTTTCTAAGAATGCACGAGTTAATATGGGCAATGTTTGGAGATGTGCTGAATGTGTGGCAACAAAACTTGCAAAAGAGGCAGCGGCCACAAGGCACATGAGCAATTCATGGCGATTCCAGCATGTATGGCAATGCTCTGCTTGTTGGACCCACATTGTGGTGACTAGGAAGAGAGTTACATGGGGCAGGCTGTTAATACGGTAACATTTCAGAGTTAAGAAGAAAGTATAGCAAGTCAGGATCCCTTTTATTTGCCAGGATTTCTGCCCTAGGCCAAACTGCACCTCTCCTAGTCAGACCCACCCTCCTCACCTCTCATTAACACATGCCCCTCTTCTGCACTTGCAGTATGGGTTACGGGCGCAGTCTACACATCTGGTACCCTCATTTGCCGGCACTTGGCATTTATTGACACACTCCCCTCTGTAACACCTGCATGGCCCTCCGCTGTCACACCCGTCGAAACACTCTCCTCCTTCGGCACTGGGTAGTTGACACTGCGGTTTGCACTGACCAGCAGAACATAAGCACACTTGGCTGCAGTCACACACACAAAAGGGAGAGAGATAGAGTTCAAAGACAAGATTATTGATGATGAGCTAACGAGCGAGTATGAGAAGAATGATAGATAGGAATAGATGAATGATAGGAAAAGGCCGCTAAAACTGGAATGGGATTGTTCAGGTCACGGACTCTTGTGCGGTACTCCTCCCACCCCTCACACCCTCTCCTGTGCTCCTTCCACCCCGCACTCCCACTCCCTCGTTCCACCTTTCTCTCACCCCCCAACCAATCCCCCTCCATGCATGTAACGTTCTCGCTTACCTTGTACAGTTGTAACTGCATTGCAGCCCGTCGCTTCCCGCCACGCTACACCGCGGCACGCACTTGCCACCAACGCACGTCCCCTGCTGCGAAAACATATCCCCGCAAGCAGCTCCCTCGTTAGTCGGCAGCTCGCAAAACGGTCTACACCGCCCTTGCGTACACCTGCACCCGTTCGTGTTATCCGCGCACGCCGCTCCACCGCTACAAACCGCTCCTTCCGCCAACCCCCCGTTACAAGGCTCCACGCATTTCCCTTTACCAGCGCATCTACACCCCGGCGCAGTCACCACGTTGATGTTATTAACGGGATAATAATACGCGTTAGGGCACGAGGTGCAGGGGTACGCGTTCGACGAGCTGAGGACGAGCGGAACGGGAGAAGGTCCCGTGCACGAGAGGTCGGGCTCGCACTTGCCCGACGAGCCGCAGACGCACGAACCGCCTTTCGTCGTGTTGCACGTGCGGCAAACCGTGCCGGGCTCTGCCGCGAGCGGGAAGAAAGGGAAGAACGGGGAATGGCGATCAGTTTCCGTGCGCGGGAACAGATGGTTGACTTTGAGGAAGCGTTTGCAGGAATTCGCATTCATCTCTCGTGTGTTCTAATGGCTCAGTAATTGGCAGAGTCTGCACGCACTTGTCGCTTTGAGTAAGCATGATTCTAACGTGCACTCCCTGACGATGGAGCAGAGCTGCTTCTCTAAGGCGCAAATAAAGAATGGACACTCACTGGCGATGGCGCAGATGTCGTAGCAGAGCCCCGCGCGGCAGTAGCCTTCGCCGGAGTCGGAGTTGGAGCACTTAAAGCCGTCCTTCTCGTTGCAGAACGGCACGCACTTGCCCTTGGACGGCGAACACACGCACCCGTCCTTGCCCGCCTTGGCTCTGCCCACGCCGAACAGCCAACGAGACAAAAGCGAGAAAGCTCGAACCGTGAATAAGCTGAAAATTTTGAACAAACGCGAAAAATTTCCGCTGAGATTTGACGAGGATTGTAAGGGTGAGCTCAGTTCGACTCACGAGCATCCGACGGTGCAGGGTGCTCCTCTGACGAGCGCCGACATGGGATTGGCGGTGCTGCACGCGTCGACGCACTGGCCGCGCCCGCACACGCACCCGTTGCCCGTCGCGTTCTTGCACCCCACGCACGGCGTCACGCCGTTGTTGTTCTCCGGGAGCGCACAGAAATCCACGCACTGCTGGCTGCCGTTGATGTCGCACGCGCACCGCGCGTTCGGTACGCCGAGGCGCTTGCTCGGGCACGTGTTGCACGCGCGCCGCCACGTGGGCGATTTGTAGTCGACGCCTGGCACGTAGCTGCAGGTCGGCCGGCACACGCCGAACGAGTCGCAGATACAGCCGCCGGCCGTGGTGCAGTTGGTGCAGCGCGCGCCGACTGTGAACGGTGTGGGGCAAGTTCCCAGCGGGGGAGGCGGCGGAGGCGGGGAAGGGGGAGGGGGAGGAGTCGGGGGAGGGGAGGGTGGGGGAGAAGGGGGGGTGGGAGGTGGAGGGAGCGGCGGTGAGGGAGGGGGGGACGAAGGAGGTGAAGGAGGAGGGGAGAGCGGAGGAGATGGGGAGGTAGTGGGCGGGGGAGGGGAGAGGGTAGGAGGCGGAGGGGAGGTGGTAGGTGGCGGAGGGGAGGAGGAGTCGGGCGGTGGAGGAGAAGCGGTCGAAGCGGAGGCGACAGGCGGAGGGGGAGAAACCGTGACAAGGGGAGGCGGAGGAGCGACAATGGGGGGAGGGGGAGGAGCGGAGACGTCCTGCAACCACCGCGCATGGGCGGAGGCGGCTGCGACTATGGCTTGTGAAGAGATGGTGAGGAGGAGGAGAGAGACCATGAGAGGGGCTAGGAGAGGGAGCCGCGAGGAGAGTGTCACGTGCTCGCGAGTCTTTGCTGGTAGAAATTGAGATCGCTTGTGGTATAGCCGCGAGTGCGAGCGCGATCTGCTCGGGAGGCTTGAAATCGACATTGATGGCAGTGAAACAATTCGCTCTGGAGAATTCTCAAATGCAACGAAGCCAAATTTTGAGCGGAGACGTGGTCTAGGTCAACTGTACTTTTGCCAACAGGTAGTTTCTTAATGGACCTTGGGAAAACGAAACGTAGCGTGAGGAACGCTGGATGGAAGGGTTACCGTGGGTGCATGAATAGTAAAGCTAAGAAGGAGCAGAGTCAGCTGGGTGCTGACTTGGGTGGAGGCGACGAGCAACTCACGACGTGTTACGGGGTGATATGAGACGGAGTGGGAGGAGTTTTGAACGAGAAAGTTCAAATCTCCCCGTGGACGGTGGTGGTGTGGTGAGCGGGCTTGAGGGCTTGGGACGAAAACAGACGCAATGTCGGTCGAGGAAAGGCTTTTATTCGAAAGGTGCAGGGAGCGGATGGAGGTGGCCGAACAGTCGGATATTGAGGGACGGCGTGGGGGATGCAATGCAACGCGGTACGCGCGAAACGGTTCATCAAGGTAGGCGACATTCGCAGACGGCTAGGACGAGACTCAAGGCGGGATGATTTTTGAATTTGAGAGTCCCCTAGTCCAGGCCTAGCTCATCGAGAGGCCAAGCAGGTGCAGGGAGCACGATGACGTGAGTGAAGAGCAGGAGGGGGTATTGGACGGTTGGGCACAGCAACATTTTGCAGCCAGCTGAATCAAGGCAAGCCGTTGTCACCAGCGGTCTATTCCGCTGCACTTGCCTCCCCTCCCTCTTTGTGCCTGGACGTTTTTTTGTTTGCCCTCTTCCTCGGCGCCAAATGTGTTGCTCAAACTCTCAACCAAATTGGCGAACCGCGCCGCCAAGTCTTTCCCCGCGAATCACGAGCCGCGTTGGATGGCTGAATGTTGGCCCTTTCGGCAGGGCGCGGGCTTCTCAAATCTGGCCGTTGGCGCGCACACAATTTGCGAAGAACGTCGCAGGCGCTTAGTTTGTCGGCTCAGGAAGCGTAGTTGACGTCCAGCGATGGTCAGACTTTGCTCGGAATCGCGATGTGAGCTGTTCCGCCGCTACGAAAAAAAACGGCGGTACGCGATACTGTTTTGCCCATTGTCAAAATTCGAATCAATAGGCAAAAATAGAAGTTTTGAAATATGAAGCCTCTATACAATAATATATTACAGAAGGATGATATGCATGCAAAAACCAACGTTTTAAATCGTGATCCCAAACCGATTGCTAACCCATGCGTCCATCCCTATACTTGGTTAGTCATCAGTGTGTTGGCGACATCCATTGGGTCGAAAATGGTACACATTTCTCATGATCTGGTTGCACATGCCGCAAAAGCGTGCACGGCAATTTCGGCAATGCATGTCATTATTCCTCCCCTCCTGCAAAGAAAAAACGGGTTGCAAGAAACACACAGGAACAGGGTAAGATGATACCACCATCACACCAGCAACATTTATATAGCTATACTAGCTGACGACACACTACCTTGCAGCCTGAACCGACCTTGTCAAATGCTAACCTTATAATTGAATAGACGGCAATTGGGGCAGCGCCTCGCAAGCAGCGGCCTGCCATCCGCTCCGATGGGCGGTGCCGGCGCCGGCGCGGCTCGATGGTTGCGGCGCTGTGCTCCAGCCAAGGCTGCCATCTGCATCTCCCACAGCTCTATCTCCGCCGCCTCAAACAGCACACACTTGCCCTCCCTGGTGATGCAAGGTTGCAAGGGGAAAAAAGAATGGACAAAGAAGGGCATGAGGGTATGTGACCTGCATCTCCCACAGCTCTATCTCCGCCGCCTCAAACAGCACACACTTTCCCTCCCTGTCATGCAGGGTTGCAAGGGGAAAATAAGGCACAAAGAGGAGGGAAATGAGGGTATGTGACTTGCATCTCCCACTGCTCTATCTCCGCTGCCTCAAACAACACACACTTTCCCTCCCTGGTTATGCAAGGTTGCAAGGAAAGAATTGGGGAAAGAGAGAAAGGGAAACTGGCAACTGGTGAACGAAGGTATGCCATCTGCATCTCCCACAGCTCTATCTCCGCTGCCTCAAACAGCACACACTTCCCCTCCCTGGTGATGCAAGGTAGCAAGGGAAAAATAAGGGAAAGGGGGGGAAATGAGGGCATATGACTTGCATCTCCCAATGCTCTATCTCCGCTGCCTCAAAGAGCACATAGCTGCCCTCCCTGCTAATATACATGAAGTGGTAACTCACACAAAGTGGTAATATACATGAAATGGTAACATACACAAAGTGGTAATATACATGAAATGGTAACATACACAAGATGGTAACATACATAAAGTGGTAACGTAGGTGAAGTGGTCGTAACCGTCGATGCGCTCATGGCAGCGGTAGCAGAAGAAAGCGTTGCAGGTGGGGCGATGGGGATGGGGTAATGTATGTGACGTGGTAACAGGGTAACAAGTTGCAACATAGCAATAACATATGTGAAGTGGTTGTAACCATCGATGCGCTCATGGCAGCGGTAGCAGAAGAAAGCGTTGCAGGTGGGGCGATGGGGATGGGGTAATGTATGTGACGTGGTAACAGGGTAACAAGTTGCAACATAGCAATAACATACGTGAAGTGGTCGTAACCGTCGATGCGCTCATGGTAGCGGTAGCAGAAGAAAGCGTTGCAGGTGGGGCGATGGGGATGGGGTAATGTATGTGACGTGGTAACAGGGTAACAAGTTGCAACATAGCAATAACATACGTGAAGTGGTCGTAACCGTCGATGCGCTCATGGTAGCGGTAGCAGAAGAAAGCGTTGCAGGTGGGGCGATGGGGATGGGGTAATGTATGTGACGTGGTAACAGGGTAACAAGTTGCAACATAGCAATAACATACGTGAAGTGGTCGTAACCGTCGATGCGCTCATGGTAGCGGTAGCAGAAGAAAGCGTTGCAGGTGGGGCGATGGGGATGGGGTAATGTATGTGACGTGGTAACAGGGTAACAAGTTGCAACATAGCAATAACATACGTGAAGTGGTCGTAACCGTCGATGCGCGCGTGGCAGCGGTAGCAGAAGAAGGCGTTGCAGGTGGGGCAGATCATCTTGTTGCACCCCTCGCTCCTGCTGATGGCCGTGCTGCACACGGGGCATGGCACGCTCGACTCCTCCACCAACCTGACCAGTAGCAAGGGGGATGGGAATAAGAAAGAGATCTCAGCCTCTGTAAATTGTTGATACCCATAGGCCCGTGCTGCACACGGGGCACGGCACGGCACACTCGACTCCTCCACCAGCCTGACCATGAGTGGGAGAGGACAGGAACAATGTGCGGGTGAACGTGAGTGTGAGTTTGGGTGAGTGAGTGAGGGGATGACAAGGACGGGCAGATCATCTTGTTGCACCCCTTGCTCCTGCTGATGGCCGTGCTGCACACGGGGCACGGCACGCTCGACTCCTCCACCAACCTGACCAGTAGCAAGGGGGATGGGAATAAGAAAGAGATCTCGGCCTTTGTGAATTGTTGACACCCATAGGCCCGTGCTGCACATGGGGCATGGCACACTCGACTCCTCCACCAACCTGCGGGAACAAAGAGAGAGGGGCGGAATGTGTGTGAGAATCATGCTCGGACATTTGTAAATGTGTGGAAGACTTGAGAGGTTATTTTTACCTTTGCCAAGGGTACACAAGGCAAAATACCCACCTGGGACAATGTACCCACTTGAGACAAAGTACCCACTCGAGAATAAGGGATCACTTCGGAGCTAAGAACTTGAGGCTGAGTACTTACTTGAGGCTAAGTACTTGTTGCTCAAGGTCCTTCTGCTTCCTCAGCTCTTCCTCTGCCAGCGCCCGCTCCTGCTTCCGCAGCTGAAACAGAAAAGAAAGAGACGAGAAAAGCAGGAGGCAAGAGTTTTAATAACTTTCTGATTGCCCAGCTCTCGCACAGCTAGAGTTCACTCCTCCTGGCAGAAAGTCACCCCCAAAGCTCTCAACCTTAAAATGTGTCCACGCGGTAATGCACCTGCCCTCTCACCTTCATGAGTTTGAGTGCTAGCTCGGGAGTGATGCAGCTCCTGCCCCGGTGAAAGCCCTCACGGCACATGCCACAGAAGGAGAAGAAGCACCCGGGGCACAGCGCGTGGTGGTCTGATGGGTCCTCCACTGCCGGCTGGGAGCAGCGCGGGCAGAAGGCAATGTCTGGCATGGCGTCTAGGGAGCGCTGGAGAGTGAGCTGCTCCCAGCGAGAGAAAAGGTCAGCAGGGAGGAGTGTGCGCAGGAGATCTGTTATAATGGGAAGGGAAGGAAGGGGGGTGACCATGTGAATGCTGAGTGCAGCACGGGCAGAAGGCAATGTCTGGCATGGTGTCTAGGGGATCGTTGCAGGGTTAGCTGCTCCCAGCGAGAGAATAGGTCAGCTGGAAGCAGGGTGCGCAGAAGATCTGTGTGGGAATGGGAAAGCAGGGGGGACGGGGGGATTGTGGGAGCAGCGCGGGCAGAAGGCAATGTCGGGCATGGCGTCTAGGGAGCGCTGGAGGGTCAGTTGCTCCCAACGAGAAAATAGGGGCGCAGGAAGCAGGGTGCGCAGGAGATCTGTTGAACAAAAGAGGGGATGGGAGGTGGAGAACGGGGGAGGGCACAAAACGGATGGTTTAAGGGCAAGGAGACAGGACGTATAGGCTTTGGGGAAACAGGGAGAGGGCACAGCGCGTGGTGGTCTGAAGGGTCCTCCAGTGCGGGCTGGCTGCAGCGCGGGCAGAAGGCAATGTCTGGCATGGCGTCTAGGGATCGCTGGAGGGTCAGCTGCTCCCAACGAGAGAAGAGGGGCGCAGGAAGCAGGGTGCGCAGGAGATCTGTACGGGGACGAGGAAGTGGGAGGGAAGGGAAGAGGGGGGGAAGGGGAGAATTGTGGGAGCAGTGCGAGCAGAAGGCAATGTCGGGCATGGCGTCTCCCAACGAGCTGCCGGGTGAGCTGCTCCCAACGAGTGAAGAGGGCGGCAGGGAGGAGTGTGCGGAGGAGATCTGTGGGGCCAGAGAAGCAGGGTGGGTGGTGGGGAGGGAGGTTGGACTGTGGTTCCAGCGCGGGCAGAAGGCAATGTCCGGCATGGCGTCTAGGGAGCGCTGAAGGTTGCGATGCTCCCAACGAGAGAGAGAAGAGAGAGGCAGGGAGAAGTGATCGCAACAGTTCTGTCTGTTGACAAATAGCACACCCACCATAGGAGAGGGGAGCACGGAACTTGATGTCTGGGCGGGCGGGCACTTGAGGGCCTGGAGATTCCCCTCAGCTCAGCCACGTGCACCTCTGCACACGCCCTCATGTTTGTTGGCAGGCTTACCGTAGGAAAGCAGAGCGTGGCACTTGGTATCAGGGCATTTGAGCGCGGCACTTGGTATCAGGGCATTTGAGCGCGGCACTTGGTATCAGGGCATTTGAGCGCGGCACTTGGTATCAGGGCATTTGAGCGCGGCACTTGGTATCAGGGCATTTGAGCGCGGCACTTGGTATCAGGGCATTTGAGCGCGGCACTTGGTATCAGGGCATTTGAGCGCGGCACTTGGTATCAGGGCATTTGAGCGCGGCACTTGGTATCAGGGCATTTGAGCGCGGCACTTGGTATCAGGGCATTTGAGCGCGGCACTTGGTATCAGGGCATTTGAGCGCGGCACTTGGTATCAGGGCATTTGAGCGCGGCACTTGGTATCAGGGCATTTGAGCGCGGCACTTGGTATCAGGGCATTTGAGCGCGGCACTTGGTATCAGGGCATTTGAGCGCGGCACTTGGTATCAGGGCATTTAAGCGCCTGTAATTCCCCTCAGCCACGTGCGCCTCTGCAAACGCCCTCATGCAAAGGAAGATGAGTTTGTTGGCAGGCTTACCGTAGGAGAGGGGAGCGCGGCACTTGGTGTCAGGGCACTTGAGCGCCTGCAGATTGCCCTCCGTTACGTGCGCCTCTGCAAACGCCCTCATGCACGCAGAGCAAAAGGCATGGGTGCACGCCGCACGCACACACTCGGAGCCGGGCTTTTCTGAGAAGCAGATGGAGCACGCGTGGAGGGACGCGCGGAACACCCGGTCGTCCATCTCCTTGCTCCACCGCTTCAGGAGAGCTAGATCGTCCTGCAGCGACATGCCCTCGTACACTGCCCTGCAGTATCCTCCTACGCCTGCTCCCACACCCACACCCACACTCACACCCACACCCGCTGGTGCGTCTTGGCATGAGCATGACAATGAGGCAGCAGCGGCTGCTGCTGCTGCTGTTGCTGATGATGATGCTGATGCTGATGCTTCTTCCCCTCCTTCTCCTCCGTCTGCTGCTCCCCCCGATCCGCCCCATCCTTCCCCACCCGCAAGCTTCAGATCCTGACCAATCCCAAGGCATCCCAGCGTCTCCTCGCCAAGCCACGCTGCCCACGTGTACAGCACGACCAGGCCACTCTGCTGCTGCCACGTGGCGTCCAGCTGGGCGCAGAGGCGCGCCAGCTGGGCATGGGAGAGCCAGGAGGAGAAGAGGGCGAAGAGGGGCGGGGAGGCGGAGGGGTAGGTGTGGGGGAGGAGGGCGAGGAGGCGGAGGGGGGGGAGATGTGAGATGAGGAACGGACGAGGGAGAGGGGAGTGGGGAGAGGTGGTGGTGGTGGTGGTGGAGGGTTGGAAGGAGGAGGAGGAGGAGGAGGAGGAGGAGGAGGAGGAGGAGGAGGAGGAGGAGGAGGAGGAGGAGGAGGAGGAGGAGGAGGAGGAGGAGGAGGAGGAGGAGGAGGAGGAGGGGTTGGAAGATGAGGTTGAGGAAGCGGAAGCTGTGGCAGAAGGAGGCGAGGGAACCACGAGCATGGGCGAGGGTATGGTGATGCGGATGTCAATCTGGATGGGATGGGGAAGGGATAGAAAGTTGACACAAAGAAAAGCAAGGAAAGCGATGAGAGAAAGGTTTCTATGTAAAAAGAACCAAAGGAGAGAGGAAAAAGAAAAAATAAAAAGCATCTACATGTTTCAGGAGGCGAGTACATCTCTTCCCCTCTCATGATGGCCATAACAATAAATTAGCGAATGGGTACAGGTATTGCGCATTGCAACAAAAACCAACTGATCTCGCGCCATGTAACTGCTATATGCCGCGGCGTTTGATATTTCTGAACATCTCGTACCATGAAGCAGTTGTAAGGCGACGCTGTGAAACGTTTGAGGCACCTAAAACAAAAAAACTTAACATCTCGTACCATGAAGCAGTTGTAAGGCGAGGCTGTGAAACCCGAGCCGGCCGCCTCTTCGAGAGCAGAGGAGGAGGTGGGTGAGGACGGGGAGGAGGAGGAGGAGGAGGAGGATGCGAGCCAAATGGGCTCAAAGTCTGAGTCGAAAATGGACTGCAGAGCTTCGACCTGTAGAGGGCATGGAGAAGCAATTAGAGACAAGGGTTTTAGTGTACCACCTGGTTGTGGTGTGGACTAAAGAGAAGCCAGGTAGTGTAGCTACAGTCAGCTTCATCTCTCCGATCGCTTCAGCCTCATCTCACCCCTCTCAGCCTCATCTCGCCCCTCTCAGGCGAATCTCACCCCTCTCAGCCTTATCTCACCCCTCTCAGCCTCATCTCACCCCTCTCAGCCTCATCTCACCCCTCTCAGCCTCATCTCACCCCTCTCAGCCTCATCTCACCCCTCTCAGCCTCATCTCACCCCTCTCAGCCTCATCTCACCCCTCTCAGCCTCATCTCACCCCTCTTAGCCTCATCTCACCTCTCTCAGACTCATCTCACCTCCTCCCTCTGCTCCTCCAGGCATTGCTGCCTCTCGCCTTCAGACAGGCCTTTCCCCGCCGCCTCGTCAATCTGCCTGGCGCGATCACACATGCGCCTGAGCCGCTCTTCGAATTCCATCGCTGGCGTTTTCTGGCTGGCGGCGTTAGAACCGGAAACAGTTGGTGGAGGAGCAGCGAGCGTTTCCGTGCTCATTGTCGCCTTATTGCACCAAGGCGATGGCTTGCAAACGCTGAGACGTCCCAAAACTCGATTATTGTACAAGGCGATAGCTAAATACTTCGATGCGTAAGAATAAACGACGGAATTAAGAGAATATGTACAAGGAAGCGCAACTTGAATGAGTCCCTGCCAGGGGCAGAATGGGTTCTGTTCTGTCCACGACTAATTCGGCATCGTGGCTAAATGCTACGACGTGCGCACTTGAAGATTCCCGGACGTTAGGAATCCATCGCTTCGCAATTCTTCGTTATGCTACGAGAACGTCGCTCTAACTCGGAATCTTCTATCAAACGGCGGTGCGACAGGCATAATGCTTGCACTTTGGGTGTTTTTTCTGATTAAGCACCACCCATATGAGAAAAGCTCATGTTACGAGACTACAACCGCCATTTCTGCGAACAATATATACAATGTTTGGACAACTAAGACTAGATGACCATACGAGAATGACGTTACAAAAAGCTATGGTCGCCTCGCCGTCAACAATCCGGCAGTCGGTAAACGGTACGTCGGCGCAGTACAGAACCTACGAGAAATGCACACTCGTTATTCGTCCCAATACGAGAGACCTACGATGGAAGCGGAAGGAAAACTGATTATGGAATGAGCAACGCTGAACCATTAGCTTTGATCACTCTGGCACTGTTCGGCCCTTGTACAGTATGGTCTTTTCCCAAGGGCTAACACAGAAAACAGCAGACAACGGGTCCACGGCAGGTCACAGCCACGCCACCTTGGGATTGGAGGGAAACGTGTCTTGCAAGATTCAACCAGTGTGTGACAAGCAGCAGGTACGCCGCCTTCGATGAATTGAATGAAACCCGCTACCAGCATGTTTGGGCTGGGATTTTACTCCAAGCAGTAAGGCGGATGGCGTGTACGACCTGTGGTAGGTTGGGTACAGTCACGGCGAAGTCAGTGTGTTCATTTCCAGTCATGATTGCGGTTCTGGTCGGTTTCGCGCGCGGAGACGCGGTTCCGGAGCATTCTAGGTCAGGAACACAACCTGCAGAACAAAAAACTGCGACACAGGAGGAATCAAAATCAAACACCCACAAACTCTCAAGCGCAAATGACCGCCGAATCCAATTTTCTCTGTAGCAAATCCGTTCCTCATAACGGAGGGCTTTATATCAAAAGATCAGAGCACAAAATGTCTTGGCATTCCCAAGGCTGGAAACATCAAACTGGCGTTGTCAAACGGCGCTGATAGCTAGAAACGCGAGAGGGGTTATCCCGAGTCAGAACTTCTGACTGTCTGGCATCAGTGTTCCGATGGCTCGACGGCTAGGGAACCTCGGGAAACGCGTGCCTTGACATTGACCCTCCTTTCCTATCATAGACCTACGCTCAGTATGTCATGCATGTCTGACATTCGACCCATGCGTGGCGTCCCAGTATGGTCGAAATCAGTTATACAACATTGGGTATTAGAACTGGCTCGAGCATGCACGTCGAATGTCTGATTCTAATACTTAGAACGCAGGGACATAGCAAGCGATTACTATCAGATTAGCTTGACACATTCAGGGACCTATCCGGACCTATCAGGTTAGCCTGACACATTCAGGAACCTATTAGAGACCTAACAGGATAGCCTGACACATCCAGGGGCCTATTAGAGACCTATCAGGTTAGCCTGACACACTCAGGGACCTATCAGGAACTTATCAGGACCTATCAGGGACCCGTCAGGTTAGCCTGACACATCCAGTTGACGAAAAGCAGAAGATCCCAGAGCGAGGTTACTCACCTCGCCTAGATGAACCGAAATGTCCTCTTAGTTTCGAAGCAGCATAGTGTGCACCAGAAGAGAGCCAGATAGGCAGAAGCCCCTTAGGCACTCTTCTGAGGCGCCTAGAAATGTCCTATTAGTTTCGAGGCAGCATAATGCGCCAGTAGAGAGCCGGATAGGCAGAAGCCCCGGAGGCACTCGCTTCCCATGGCGGAGCACGTTGACAGCCTCACGTTCGAGCATGCGAAATGGACAGACGTGGTACGTATTTCTGCGACCCTGTGGTTAAATAATCAATAGTTAGTCGGTTCTCACTCGTGCGAACGTTCCAGCATATCGCTTTTGTCCGGATTTTCTTGCCAACTACATATTTACAGGTAGGTGAATGCTGTTTTTAAGCACCTGATAGGTTACTGATAGTCTTATTTAAGCGCCCTTGTTTTACCCAAAGGCCCTCTCCTCCCCCCCTTCCGCCTCTCCCCCTTTCCTCCTGTCCTCCTCTCATCCTTCCCCCCTCGCCTCCACCCACCTCTCCCGCCCAAAAACGCCAGGAGCGCTGGTCGGTGCTCAAGTGCACCAAGCCTGCTGACGTCAGCAGCTCGCTCCTGGGCGTGCGCGATCAGAAGGAGAACCGATGCGGCACGTGCGGGAAGCCCGCGCTGACGTGTACAGGTGAGTGAGAGGGCTCCTGACGTGCATAAGTGAGTGAGTAGCACAAGTGCGCGTTCCTTCATGAAATGTAAGTGAGTGAGTAGAGCAAGTGGGCTCCCATTAAGCTCCTCCGCTCCCTCTCTCCCTAGCCTCCAGTCGTGATGTGCCTCTTTGAACCTCCATCTCCCCACCCCACTTACCTTCTCCCTTCTCCCCGTTTTTTCCCCACGCAGGTCATTTCGGACACATATTCTTCGAGATGCCACTGTACCACCCGCTGCTGCGCCCTCTGCTCGTCTCCACCCTCAACTAACTACTGTTGCCTTGCCTTCAACAAGGGCTGTTGTTCCTCAATGCATGAACCTTGCGTTTTCCTGCGCACCTCCCATACACCCACCCATCCCACCCCCCCGCAGGTCATTTCGGGCACATTTTCTTTGAGATGCCGGTGTACCACCCGCTGCTGCGCCCTCTGCTCGTCTCCACCCTCAACTCCTTCTGCCTCGCCTGCGGCAAGGGCTGCTGTTCCTCCTCCTCCTCCTCCTCCTCCCTCCGCCACTCATCCACCCAACCCCAGGTATGCCTCACGCACGCACTCACTCACGTACTCACGCACACACGTCGACCATTGTTCACTCATGCCTGCACTGTGCCGCGTTCTGCTCTGCAATGGATAGTGCCTCTCGTGGTGCGTTTCCTTCTTGAAATCGTCGTGAGTTCCTGGTTTTATTCCCGTCTTATAACGAGTCCTTTCTGTCTCCATGCGTCCGTGTCCTGCTCTTGCTGTGCAGCTGGTCTCTGGCGCTCCATCTTCAGCGAAAGGGAGAACGAATCAAGGAGCAGTGAAGAAGCGACATCGGGGGACCGAAGGGGAGGAGAGGAGGAGGAAAGGGAGGGTGCGGGAGGGGGGAAATAGGGAGAAGGGGAAAGAGAAGAGCGACGACGTTCAGGCAGGATCGTCAGCAGCAGCACCAGCGGCGGCAGCAGCAGCAGCGGCAGGACAGGATACAGCAAGAGGCGCTGGAGGGGATAAGCAGGCAGCAGCAGGAAGAGGTGAAGTAGCTGCAGCAGCAGGGACGGATGGAGCAGCAGCAGTGGAAGCTAATGCAGCATCAGCAGTGGGAGAAGAAAAGGAAGCAGGAGCAGAGGGCGCAGAAGCGTCTTTCCCTGGTGCCCCGGATCTAGCCACAGAGAGCATAGAGCTGAGTGGGGAGAGGGAGAAGAGCGAGGAGGAGAAAGAGAAGGAGAAGAATGAAGAGGAGGGGGTGGGAGGGAAGAGTGAGGAGGGGGTAGAGAGGGAGAAGGGTGAGGGGGCTGGGCTTGCTGTTGGAAGGGAGAATGCGCAGGGAGCAGCGAGAGGGGGGGAGATGGAGGGTGTGGGAGGAGAGGGCGAGGCAGCAGGCGATGGTGGAAAGAGGGAGAATGGGGCGATGGGCGATGGGGGAGAAGGTATGAGAAGTCATGAGGTGGTGTCGCTTGTGGACTCTGACTCTCAGAGCGAGGATGAGGATGATGACGAGGAGGGTGATGCAGTTGGGTCGACGCAGAGGCTGATCAAGGGAGATGATGCTGATGACTATGACAAGGACATGCCACTTGCCTTCCGCAGCAAATGCCGTTCAGCTGGCTTCATTGGTCCGGTAAGCCGCCTCCCTCCCTCCCGGTGCACCTTTCTCATGTGCCTATCAATCACGGTATCACCCCCCTTGGTTTCCACTTTCTCTAGATTCTCAGGACACCCCCCCTCTCATGAACCTTATGCAGATACATTTGCTAAGCCAGTACAACCCCCTTGCAAGCCTTTCACGTTTTTGCATCATCGTCTGAACCCGTATCCTTATGGTCCCACACTTGAACCTTCTCCGAGTCTGCCTTCCTCTGAACCACTGTGCCATCACTGCCTCTCTGTGCGCTCACTGTGCTTCAGGGCGCCAGGCGAATGCTGGCAACTCTTTCGGACGACGACGAAGACGA